GAATAGTTTGACAGAAATTGGGTGCCGAGTTTAGAGAAGTCATTATATCCTGAAGAAGTTCAGACAAGTTAGCTGGACGAAACGTCGGAATTAGTTAAATTTTAATCGCTGAGATAATTTCTAATATAATTTTCACATATAATAACTTCAATAATATTTGCAAACTAATTATTAGTTCCATGAATAGTCACTATGTATATCCTGCATTTTTATAAAAATGCTTTAATTGTCAAAACAGTACTTATAATTAAAGAGGAAGAATGTATTTGTAAAATTTCAGTACTAAATGGTTAATTAATGTAGAAAGTTTCCATGTGGTAAAAGTAAATTAATCGTCACATCTATTACGTAATCGATATTCACTACATTTAATGTTAAAGGTTATGTAAGATAATTTTATTGTCAATAATAAAATATTTCATTTAAATAGGTTAACTATTAATGTAATAACAACAAAGTAACCTACAGTGATAAATGAAAACTATTCGTTCGAAGCCACTTGTCATCAAGTTTCTCCTACTAATTACTTTTAGTATTTAGTTTAAAAAGTTTTAAAAATGAAGCTTATAAAGTAATATAAATCATGAGGAATTGGGTGACAAAACTAAAAAGATGTATACATCTGGATAAATGTATGAAATAGGTACTTTCTCTATATTTAATCATATTTATCATAAACAAAGTATACTGATACTATAGAAAGTTTGGGGAGACTGTTGAGACTTCCTTGATTATATCTAATTTAGATAACCATTAAAACCAGAAAGTACCGAACAGATGTTTCACCTTAGCATAAACTTCTTACCAGTGAGCATCCACGACCCCAATAAAGATCTAACCAGGGGACTTTAGTCTATAGTGAGAGCCCTTTACCTCCGAGGAGAAATCATGGCCAATGTATTTCAATCATGTTGAATGTATGGCAATTACTCACCGCGAGTAATCGAAGATGGTCGCGTAATATCACAACTTCACTGAAGTTAAAATATGTGAACCACTGAATACCAGCTCAGTCGTTTGGAGGCTAAGCGCTCATCAGCAAGACCGCAGATCCTAGGTTCAATCCCTGATGAGTTTATGGATGGTCATTGCTGAAAATTCTCACACTATGATGAAGCAGCTATCCTGTGCCCCAAGGTTTTCAACGATTAGCTAACGAAGATCATTTCAACATATGAACTATTAAGAAATGTGATCAAAACCTAAATTTCATTATTTACAAATCAAAATTAAAAACACTAGAATGATATAAAACTCACATATTTTTAACTATAGAATCTATTCCAAATTATCTGATTAATTAATGAACAAGTGATGATATATTTATTTAAAACTGGTGTTCATTTATTTGAGAATATATTATAGAAAAATAAAATATTTATTTACACCCCTTTTGCAATTAGTTTTCCTACCCTTCATCATTGGAAACATTAAATTATTTAGAAGCACCAAAACTCAGGCAGATAATTTAAACTTCTTTTCATTTGTTTTCCACCACACCACTAGTTTATCTCAGCCTTAATACCATATTTATGTTGGTACACATCTGCTCACTAATCTGGACATCTATTTTGGACTTGAATGTGATGGGGGGAAACATGTGTAACTTGATTTATTAATGATTTACTCAAACCCCACATGTATGCATCATAATACATAAAGATGGCTCAACAACCAGTCTTCATTTTAACTTTGTTTAAAAATATGAAGTTAGCTTTTAATAGATTCATCTTTTCGGCAGATTTATGTGTGTGAATGCATTTGTGAAGTCACATATTCTATCTTATTTAACCATTGGGTTTTCCTGGAGTTTTTAAAGGCTAGAAAATATGTATGAGCATATATATATGAACATATTACAATGTGAGTATTGAAAGAAAAATTAAGTCCGTCGAAGACAAATATGGAAGAGGTAAATAGTGACAGACACCATAATGGGCAAACAAAAAGTGGCAACGAGTAGAAAATTGGTAGATATATTTGGTTGGTTGTTTGAATAGCAAGAGGATTAAGGGAGAGAAAGATAATAGATGTATCTAACTTCCAAATTAACATTTTTCTGATTGTTAGTTACCTGCAGTAGTAGTAAGCCTAAATTTTCCACCAATTCCAATCTAGACCATAGAAAAATAGAGTAAGAATCAATCATACACCCATACAAATACATATATGTGATTTAGGAGTGAATCTAAGCTAGTGGACATGAAAAAAACTACCGGGCTGTAAGTTTGACTGAAATTGGACAAGTCTAGCAAGAGTGACTTTTTTTAGGCGAACTGATGTAACCAAACATTTCAACCATTATTAGAAAATTATTTTCTACCTCCGCCTAATATTTTAGGAAAGGGGAGTTTTGGAAGAAAAAGTATGCCAGTTACTTGAATTTTTCTAAGGAGTGGTGACAGGGAGTGAATGTAAACGATCAATATGTCTTTAAGATAATAATTATGGTATATTGTTTAAAACAATATTTCATCAAATGAATTATTTCTAATGTGAAAGAATAACTAAAAACGATAGATTTCTCTAGAAAAAAAGAAGAAACAATTCTTAATTGATTTTCTACTTTATTATATGAAAAATTCACTAGTCTATTCAACTGTTTACTATTTCATTTTTATATGATAAATCAGTTCTTAAGACTGAAGTTATTCATAGCGTTTTGAATGTTCATTGGTTCAGTTGTATTCATCACTTACATTTAGTTGATTCTCTGTTTGTATTGTAAGTGAATGATGCTTATTAGAGTGTGTGACTAAAGAGTTATTGCAAATTCCCAGGATAGTATGGTCTAGCATGACTGATAAAAATCATGAATACAATAAAAGTTAGAGGATAGATTGAAAACTTTAATGAAGGTAAGTGTCTAGAACTCGCTAAAATTAAATTCATGAAACGATCTCACTTTCAAGTTAACTGATGCCTAAAGACAGATTTGGCTAGTGAAAACGTTTACCAGTTGTTCTCTTGTGTGTATTTTTAATAATAACACCATTTATGAAAATGTTTTCACACCATCTCTATGAGAGAATTATTCTATTTTTATTAGAATAATACACTTAACGACGGAATGTTGCACTTAATCAATGAGTTAGCACTGTAGCTTTGTCATTGATTACATCCACTTGTATTGGAAATTATTTTTAATTTGACAGGAACAGTAATCATTATTTGGTAATTTTCTAATAAAAAACCACTATCTGATGAATAATAACCTATTGGAGTTAAATAGTTTTACATTTTCTTGGGGAAATCATTTACCATAACTGGACATGTTTATCATCTGTTATCATTAGGTTTCCTGTGTTTTAGAACTTAAATAATGAATAGAAATCGACCTTATAACTATCCTGTAAGATATCTTTATCTCGGACAGCTTAAGTATTAACTTTGTCGTTTGCAAAGTATTATCGATTTAAATTAATTAAGTTATTCTGTCTCTATAATGAATCAATATAAAATCACCGAAGTGATTTGGGATGTGACCAACTGACCGAGATTAGATCGACTCATGAATTCAACTATTAAAATTACTACAATCTTCACAAATTTCAATTCTCGTGATAATCATGTACTCCTCACAGGTGACTAGCTTCAAGATGAATTTCCTAATATTCCAGTGAGAAGCGGTGACCAGTAGAGTCCAATCTGTGTCCGGTGGAGACAGTTATCCACCTCAGGCAATGGATGAAGGGTTTTGCAAGTTCATGGATTGATTGAAGTTAGACATTAACACTGTTTGACGCCGGTTCAGTGGTCTAGAAGTTAATTGTTGGCGCACGAGACCGAAGGTCCTGGGTTCGAGTCCCACGTGTAAGATCGTGGGTGCACACTGCCGAGGAGTCTTATAATAGGATGAAATGGCTGTCCAGTGCTTCTAGGTTTTCAATGGTGGTCTAACTTAAATCGACTCATGACTTCAACTATTAAAATTACTACAATCCCCACAAATCCCTATTCTGCACAACTTGTTCGATTACCTAATAAAATTTGACATTTTGTCTACCTAAAGTCAGTTTGTGATCTGAAACTACGAATCTCATATCACTCAATAAGGTGCTGGTAATACACAACTTTTTGCTGTGCAGTTGAATTTTATAGTTAACATTATGAACCGATCTTTGTTAAACAACTATTGAAAACCAGACAGCACTGGATATCTATTGGGTCCCGCTTTGGGACTCCCCGGTAGTGGTCATCCACGACCTCGCTAGAGGTCAAACTCAGTACCGCCTCCCTCTAAGTAGGCATTTAGTTGTGACCAGTGAATTTCAACCACATCGGGTATGGAGCAGATACCTACCAAGGACATCAGATGATAGTTGCGCAAGATCGCGGATCAATTAAAATTAGATATGTAAGCTATCGGATCCCAGCTCAGTTTTCTGGGGTATAAGTACTCGCAAAGAGATCAAAATACCGCCGGTACGACGCCTTGTGGGGTCTCACACAAGATTTTGACCAGTTATGCAAAGTCAATTCGTGATGTTGACCATAGAAAAGCAAGCATCTCGTCTTATTCCAGTTATACTTTTATTATCGTAATGTATTGTTTTTGACAAACTAACTAAAATTGAATTTTCTTTTCTTTATAGAAAACCTAACCTAAATCCTGTTATCTAAGTGATATTATTTGAATACTGTAAGGCTAACTAGTTAATAAAGAACGTAATAACAACTTATTTTTATTAATTGACACATACAATATGATAGAAAAGCCAACTAATACTTGTTTCTAAGCTTCAACATTGAATATAATTTTATTAGGGGAGAAACTACATCGTGCAGAGTGTGGTTGAATAAATTGATCAAATGGAACTGATACACTACTATCTAATGAATGAAATTAAGATTTAAGACATTAAATTATGTAATACACTTCAATTTCATAGTCCTAAAAGTACACTAACGATTTAGATTGGATATCTTTCAGTATCAATTCTGAATAAAACAAATCTAAGAAAGAGAATAATATATTTATCTAGAATTACTGACAAGTGATGGACTACAAAAATTTATTTAAAAGGTTTAAAAAAACGATACAGAGAATAACAACATGACGAAATGATACACAATTTCATCTCAATAATAATTTGATCAATAAAACATCAGCTTTCGATGTACAACAAAAATTTATCAATATTAGAACACAGTTAGGCTTTAAGTATTAATAGTGAAAAAGCAGAGGGAACAAGAGATAATTAAAATATTATCCATCACTCTTTTTTTGATGATGGGGGACTTTTAATAATTGTGTACAAAAGACAAAACAGAACCATCAGGATTCACAACAAGTATAGGGTTTCTAAGCCAGTAGTTTTTCAACTTCAAACAACTAATGATCACTGGTAATGTGATATTTCATTGGATGTTATCAATCAGTTACTCATTTGAATCGTTTGGTTGACTGAATTAGTGAGGAATTTCTGTCAGAATTTCGAGAAATCCATCTTGAATCTTACTACTAATGATGATGAACATCATAATGATTAAATGGTGACACAGTAGTGTGAATGTTTCATGATCATCGTGAAATCAGATAATTTTTGGTTCAGCTTTTGTGTGAGGCTGTTAGTCCATACTGTTATCATATCCAAAATATGGACGAAAAATGTATCCATCCAGTACTCCTTATATATTTCACTGATTACGCAGACAATGTTGGTTCGTGATGATATATCATAGAAATTAAATAATTAATTTAAATAAACAAATATCTTCATTGAAACTATTGACAATCAATTTTAGTAGAGAAGAAAACATTTAGTGAAATGCTTTTTCATAAAAATAATAATAACGAATCAAAATAATATCTGCATAAATATTCACATAAAAAATATATTGATAATAATAATAATGAAATAAATAAAACCCATAACAGATTGAATGAAGTATTATTATAATCATTACTTTCCCGTATAAAATAACAATGAAATTGTTACACTTTTCCTCTTTTCTCACTGATGAAATCTTCTACTGTTTAATTCTTTTTCTTGTGTTTAGAGAGAAAAACAAAAAAGTAATATTCGCATGATTAAAAGAAACAGAAATACTGCCTTCGTTTCTCCCTTTCTCTCTTTCTTTCTTTCATTTCTTAATTTCAATAATAGCCAATGTTCACTTAAACACACGCGCACATCATAGAATTGTATCTTACTTACGCAGTTAATTGTTTAATAGAGATTGTAAGTGAAATATAACCTCAGATAGAGAGATATGGAAGAAATATATTCAGCTAGTCAAGTACAAGATGAAGAAAAGAAATCAGAAAAAGCACTGTAAGAAAGAAAAATATAACGAAATATTAATTAAATAAGCACCAGAACATATGACGTTTCCCATTCAATTATTAACCATTTATTTTGTGACATTTACACAACTTCTTAACATATAATATGAATATTATTTATTAATTCATGAATTGAGTGAAAAGGTCACTTATCTTATTATCAGAAGGGGTTTTGTGGAGATTTTAGAAATTTCAATAGTTGAAATTATGAGTCAAATGAAGCTAAACCGTTGGATGCCGGCTCAGTGGTCTGATGGTTAAGCGCTCGCGCGCGAGACTGATAGGTCCTGGGTTTGAATCGCGCGGAGGGCTGGGTCGTGGATGCGTACTGCTGAAAAGTTCCACACTAAAACGAAACGGCCGTCCAATGCTTCCAGGATTTCCATGGTGGCCTAGCTTCAGTTGACTCATGATGTCAACAATTATCTTATTATTTCCTTAATTTATTTTAACAGAAAAAAAAGAAAATTTAAATTTTTTGAGAAAACTTCTGAGATAATGTAGAATATTTGTAGTTCAAAATGAAGATTTTGTAGATGTTCTCCGAATTGAATGGTTTAATTCATCCTGAACTACAAGTATTCTCTATCTTCTTGCAAATCATAGGTGTAATAGGCTTCTAGCTGTTCGAAAATAAGAAATTCCTCAAAAAGCAAACTTTCACAAAAGAACAATCACATCTACAATTGAATCGTCTAAATCAGAGGACACGACATCCATTAAACAAACGAAAATGTGTACTTTAATTCAATCTAATTTTGTAAATAGAATTCTAGTGTTTAAACAATGATTTTTTTGTTTTTTTTTGTCACAATGATGAAAAAATCACTATCTCGTATGCATTTACTAGTTAATTAAACTTCAAGAAAAAATCGATCAATGAATTCTTATAGATACAGGTAAAGATTTTTAGATTCCACTGTTAGCTGCAATCAATCTATTCCGAAGTAAGAATATATCTAGAAATTTGTTTAACATGAAATACACATTTTTCTTGTATTCATTCTGAGATTTAGTACGCGCATAAACGTAGCCTAACAAACCTTTCTATTGATTTTAAATAAGAAAATCATTTAGGATGGTTACAAGGAGTTAAAATGAATGTGCGAATCTGGATTTTTGATTTGTTAACAATAGAAATCTAAAGCTTTTAATAAATCATTCTCCCTACAAGGAATACTATTTTTTGCAAGAGCTAGTCTTTTCTAAAATATAAACTAATGATCATCAGTACAAGCAATTTAAAAGCCTTTGCACAAAGAGAGACAGAGAATGCGATCACTTGCAGCTTCAAAATACAAACCATTTATATTGATGATAAACATTGCGCTAATTGAACAAGTCAATGCCTCAGTATTCTAAACAGTTTGATACTATCAATGTGGACATAAACACATATGTGGGCATATTCGGCTGGCAGATCTAAAAGTGATGGAAAGTATGTCATACGCTACTCGTAGCCTTTATTCAAAATATAATCAACATGAAATCTCATCGTTCAAACTTAATGTTAATTTACACAAGATACTGTTGACGATCTTTGTGTGTATTTATACAATCCCTAACACCCATCGGTAAACTATTCCACTAACAGTGAAACAGACCACTGTTTTTCACCAAAAACTGCCATGCAATATATACTGATCAGTATGCTCAGCTTATATGAGAGCTGACTTGATTTCAGACAAATTCAATCGGTTTTCAGTATGTATATTTTGATTGGTAAATATATATCGAAAGCTTTACAATTACTACAGAATATTTACTGAATAACCATTGAATAAGAAACAATTAATTTCAGAAATTACATAAGATATTGATTGAAATTGAATACTTGAAGTTTTATTGATCCACTGAGAATACTACTTGGCTAGCGTATTCTCTACTAAAGCTGAAAAGGTAGAGAAAGTGCAACCCCGTGAATCACATAAAAATATGCAGATATAGATGACCACGAATGCAAACCCAAGATCTTTTCGTGTAGTAAAAGCATCAAAAATGATATAGAACCGTCATTCTTTGTCTAAAACGATTCTTATGAAAGTTACCATCAACACTCCCTTAATTTGATACAATGATGAATTCCAACTATTAGAATGAGAAACTTTTACTATGTGTACTTGGTTACTTACAAGTAGTTAAAAACGTTTTAAAAATTAGTCAAATACCATATGTGGATACAAAAAGGAAATGTAGTTTTTATTAGCATAAACGAAGAAATTGCATATAATTTCAAGTGATGAGAAATACAATCCTTGAGGAACGTATTTTAAAGTCACTCAAATATGTCTAAAATTTGTAATTAAGAAACAGTATCATCTTCGAATTCTGAAGTATATTTTTCGCTGATATCTTCACTAATACTACAAGTGTGTTCAGAATTCGACAGTCTATTTACTGATTCATCATTAGAAATGCTAGATTCTTGTTGAATTTCAAGTATTGATGTAACATTAGAGGTCGTTTGGTTTTCACTACAGTTTTTATATACCACCGGAGCATCGAATTCATGAACTAATAAATCTGATTGATGAAACAATGCAGGTGTAGACAAACCATGTGGATCATCATCACACTTATCAAATGATAAGGTTATATCAGGTGCTTCTGGGAGAAGTTCCGCTTTAATTAATTCATCGACTAATTCAGAAGCTGCACGATCAATAGTCTGATATAGTTCATCAACTGCTTCTTGAATCAAATCATTGGTAAGGTCTTCACAAACACGAATAACGGGAATATCTGGCAAATTGTTAAAAGTTGTGGTAGGAAGTAAATAAAACCAAATGTTTTTAGCGTGTACATCTTGTCTGGATTTCGATTGCAATAACTGACGATGTAATTTAACCGGAAGAATAAGTGGATGAAAGTGAGCAAGAGGACTGGATTTCTTATCAACAAGATTACAATCTGATTTCACCTTCGAGTAAGCTTCATTCTATAAGAAATTTGAAAACATAGATTTATAAATTACCTATTGAGGAAAATAGAAAATCTATTAAGTAGACAAAGGTTAGAGATTTAATCTAACTAATCTACTTAATGTATACTTTATTTGAAGTGGTCATTCCAAATCTTGGTATTGACACTTACAATTTTTTCATATAGAGTTTATCCCACTTTTATAAAAACTGTAATAGAAAACTACACTATGATCGCCAATAACCTATGCTCTAAGTCATTTATGATAACATCTCAACTCACTGCTGAGTCACATGGTCTACGAGACATCGACTGGGGGACCAACAATTGACAGTTTTATACAACTACCTTTCAAACTTTTAGGCCGTGTTATAAACCAAACGCCTCTAGAATTTTTCAACCAGACCTAGAGTAAAACATGATGCGCCATGTGAAACCAGATCAAATAACATTTATAAAACATGTTTATAACATTAAGATCAGTGTTTCAAAATCGTAAACTGCTTTCATTAATTTATTAAGTACTAGATCTTTTACAGCCAGACTAATATCGTGGATTGGTTGAGGTTAGACATTAGCACCGTTAGATACCGACTCAGTGATCTAGAAGTTAAGAGTTTGCGCGCGTGACCGAAAGTCTTGCGTTCGAATCTCGCGAGCGGGATTGTGGATGTATATTGTTCAGGAGTCCTACAACAGGACGGAATGGACGTCCAATGCTTCCAGGTTCCCCATGGTGGTCTAACATCGATCGATTCATGATTTTAATCAAAAACATAATCTCCACAACCCCATCCTGATAACATCGTGCAATCCTGAGATCGCAATTAGTATATGATTTGGCTTGGCAACAGAATTGATAATCACATAATGAGCATATTTTTTAATATAGTGCATCACGAACTGTGTACATAATTTATCATTTATTAAATGTCCACATTGGTAAAACAAAATTTTGAATATTTTATAAACTGAAATATTCTTGTCATAAATCACTTAGCTTCATAAGTTATACTTGAGAAAAAGAAAGACTAAATTTACAATATTTCCCCTTTGTTTCACTCATAGTCATGTTAAATTATTTCTAAAATCATAAAACATTGAAACTATTGAACAAAAACTTTATTTAAAATATTATAAATGTATACCTGATTAAAATGTAAGTTTGAAATAACTTAGATACTTAAGAAATAAGCTTACAATCGAACAAAATCCAATTAGATATTAAATCATATAATATTTTCAATCAAAATTAAACATCAATAAGAAAAAACCCAGCTTCTAGTAGTTGTCATGACATCAAGGGCAAATAAAGAAATAATTAAATCATATTGTACTGAAGATTGATTTCTTTCATTAAAATAAATTCTAAGATTAAAAAAATTAAATATTGAAATAAAGCAAACTTAAATGCACTAGCAAGGTTTTACAAAAAAATTTCCAATCGATATGTACAACAGAAAAAAAAATTTTTTGTGACAAATTCAAAATTGTTACGAAACACTTTGTGACAAATTTGAAAATAATTTCTAAGTGCAGCAAAACAAAAGAATTTTTTATTCTCATTTAAAATAATCATTTAAATGAACAAAATTAATTATCATCATGATTATTATTACTAATTTTAATTAAATATATAATGATAATTGAAAAAGTATATTTCTATTATGAATAGTACATAAAAATTAAAATATAAAGTACATATATTTAAAAAAAAAAATATTAAATAAGTAAGCAAATTCTATTTCATTAATTATAAATTGAATCAAATCATTCAATTATATAATGTTTATTAGTAGTATTTTACATTTATCATTTTAAGAAGGATACACAATGTCTACTATTATTATTATTATTATTAGTAGTAGTAGTAGTAGTAGTAGTATTGTTAAAATCATAATGATATAAACAATCTAAGAAGAACAAAAGAGAAAACAATAGACTGAAACTTGGAAATTACAAGAATAAAAGTATATAAAAAAATTATATTTCAATAATGATTATACAATTAGTTAATTAATATGGTAACATATTAAATAGTATTAATTTAATATGAAAATAATAATAAATTGTAATTATATATACATTATGAATAATAAGAATAGAGGGAAAATTATTCACTTTTACATTTTGCATAAATTTAAACATTGTATATTATATGTGGATAATATTTGTACATACTCCGAATGTAGATAGGATAATTAAAAATCTGAAGATAAAACAAAGTAAGAAAATAATTTTTTTTAAATGTTGGTTGGTTTCACACTTTAAAAAACAAAACAACTTAAAAAACTTTAATGAAAAATAAAAGAAGAGATATTAAGGAAGAAGTCAAAAGAATAATATTAAGGGTAAAACAATAAATAAGGATTGTTCTTCTTAAGTTTGAATACAAAATAAAAATAAAATATTGATTGACTATAAAATTCTTTTTTGTTTCAAAGACATCTTATGAAGAAACGTACAGATTTTATGTAAATGGTTCTGGTATTAAATAAATTTTAAACAGTTTTAGTTTATAGCAAGTTTTTAGTTCAACACAATGATTGATGTAGCCATGGTAAATTGGTTGATAATTTGATCAATCTTCATCGACTCACGTAATTGAGAATTGTATTATGTATGCATAACCAACACCTATCTCGATATGTGATGTTTGCCGACTAGACGAAAACTAGGTATGGCCATGACAAGATATATCACGGATTCAACGATTGTTAGGAAGGTGTAAGCTACCAGTTTGGGGTTCACAGGATTATTGTAACCAACAATTAGAGACGTTGAATGACACAGCTTAGATGCAGTCGCTCTTTCTTTACCTTAAGATCCTGTGTTTTAGAACTATTAACATTTCATTTTGTCTTCATGAATCGTAATGTTTACGTCTGTTTTCCACCATTTCTGACACTACTGCTGTAGTGAATGCGTAATGTAAAACTACATAAAGCCTTCATAAACATATGAGAACCATACATTAAATAAATTATTTGCACATCTTCGTACAGTTGTCCTTCACATGCTTCATGATTCTTCTAATTTTGTTGTTATTACGGTTGCTCTCTATCTCCCTCCTTGTTCCCTTCAACTCAGTGTTCTGCTGGCAGGCACTCTACTTCCGACTGGTGATACATACTACCTATGTCTGCCAGCATAAGTGGCATATACCACAATAATATTTCTAAAACTCCATCTTTTTGTGACAACTTGAACTGAGGTAAATATATTCTATGTTGCTTACAACTAACTGATTGATTAAAGTAATTAATAGCAATATATCTCATTCGCCAGGTACAAGTTTGTATGTTTAACAGTTGTTAGGCAACGTTCATTTATTGATTACCCTTATGAAATGAAACCTAAAAGTTTTACTATCTTATTGTAGCGATTTTTTAAAAAAGGTATACGGTAAAAACAACTTTTCACAGCTTGCTGAAGAATATTAGTTACTTTTTGAGGCTCACTGTCTGATTGAGGTGTGAACGTACGAGTGGTGTTATCGAAATATACATCCTGACTACCTTCGTACATAGTTATCAATTTAATCGACGTTAGAGAATAATGGAATAAGTCAAATATGATAATGTATTTTGAATACATATATTTCGTACACTAGCTAATCCGGACAGACGACCAAAGAAACAAAACAGAGAAGGTGAAGGGAGAACGATGCAGAGAATGTTGTCGGAAATATGGGAAACAAAGCAACGGCGAGAAGGTGAGGGAGACAACTCAACCTGATCAAGCGCGACTCAATATTCATAGTCAAGCAAAGATAAGCTACAGACACGTAGTGAATAGGGTGAGCAATTAACACACATACTCTCATTTAAAAACAGTCATGGTTGATAAGCGAATAATTAGCAAAGTCAAAATGTGACATGAAAAGAGTCAATAAATCAGTCTGTCCGGAGGTTACGATGACCTATGAGGTTTTGACATAAGACCAGACACTACAATTTAGTGCATGGAAAAAGTAATTATAAGAAAAACTAACAAATACTTTGAAATCCCGATTATCTTTGTCTCGAACTTTTTTTATGCAACTGTAATTAGAATAATATTCTAGCTCAATGAATTATCTCATAATACATAAAATGATATGGAATAATTCGTGAGACTATAATCTATTGACGACCTTTGAGCGATGCCTTAGTGACCATGAGAACGTCCACCTACTTATTAGGGCTAAATAAAGGTTATAAAACAGTTTGAAGAATAAGGATTATGATTTAAAATAGATGGTTAGGGTTAGGAATTAGGTTCATGGTTTTCACCACGAACTGACATAAGTTAAAATGTCAAAACTCTATTTAGACAAATGGGTGAATGAATTTCGCGCCAAAATCCAAGACCTGTTATCCTATTTCTGATTAGTTGGTCTATAAATTTTAGTCTCGCAGAATAATTTAGCATTTGTCTTGTTGACGAAACATAATTTAACACCTAGTATGGAGGTACATTACTCTACAAAGAAATATTTTACACTGAAACCATACTAAGTAAATGATATTTAAATAACATTGAGAGTTGACCATACAATATAATTTGTAAATCAACACAATTGCGACAAAGAAGACTTAGTCAAGAGTGGGTACGAAATTACTTAACATGTATAGATACGAAATAAATAATTGTATAGTCTATTAATACAACACTTCGAAGAAATATTTAAAAGCTATTATTCATTAGTTTTTTATCACGTTTGTTTAAGTTTGTTGAAAGTGAAAAGAAATCTTAACTATAATTGGATTTGAACTAACAGACTGTGGATAAGGAATTGGGTGTTCTATCGACTAATGAGTTATAAGACTTGACGTTGGAGTGGATGTCAGTTTGACCCTAGACCCTCAACATGCATGAATTAAATAAATATAAATATTCATTTTTTAAGTGTAAATAAAAATAGAAAGCTTGTTTATTTAAGCATTTTAAAGTGAGTAATTTATGAATAGAACATATGTAGTACTTCATATATTATCTTCGTGTTACGCAACGTGCGTAAGTTATGCAATGACCTATCTTTTGACGGGTTAATTTCACTTCGAATCACAATCAAATGAAAATTTAACATTATTTTTAACATCTCGATTTAGGTATTAGGTAGTTGAAGAGAATAGGATGGAAGCCCTGGTAGATCTAGGTTTCATACTAATTGGCACTAATCAACAGATTGAGTATACAATATTCGTGGAAATAAAGTTTCTCATGAAATTTTATATCATATCCCACTATAGTCAAGGACGATACAGTTGAACTATTCGGGTTGCGACTAATCTCCAATAGGATTGAGATTTTTACTGATTGGCAACTAAGTAGTATCAAATTTCATAGATCTCCAGTTCTTAGCGCTTATCAGGCTATCAAGTTGGACTTTGGGGACTAGTTTTTGAATGATTGTAACAGTGAATGCCACGGTTTTGAATTCCGCAGGCAGCATCAGTTCCATCAATGTTACAGGTACCAAATAGCCCGGGATCTACACCTTAGAGCTTCCGCTGATTGCTTTCAACCATAGAACATCAAAACATAGAACACGGGGTATAAAATCACTTGGACTAGTGACCACAGTCAAACAAAATCGATAGAATTCGATTAGTATCAAGGACTAAATACGTGTCATTCGTTAATACTCAGTGATTATTCAGTATAAATAATCACATTCTGGATCACATCTATGATAAAATTGAATTTCAATATAAAATAACCAAACAATTACTTTTGGAAATTGAAACGTTGAGGTATGAGGACGGATAATTGACTTGTCATTTTGTTGCAATTGAGATCTATCATTCAATCTTTTGAGGAATGGAATAAAAGAAACAAAACATCAAAAAGCATAATTTAGTACTTATTAAAATTAACAGTGAAAAGTAATGGCTGAGGTTATTTGCAACGTTTTGATGTTCGCAAATTACGTCGTAGCCAGCATTCTTAGTCCTATTCTCATTCATTTAGTAGATGAGTACTGCATACTGTAGTGTAAGCTTCATTAAAGACTCCCTTTTAAGCCCTGACATTCATTATATTTGGGTAATTCCTTAGCTATATCAGGCTCTGCTACTACATTGGACACACAAAACAAGTTGCAGATAACTTCACCTGCAATAATCTATTCGAATCCTTGGATTTAATAAACTATGAAAAATGTTTAAATTCTTCAAAAATCAATTATTTACTCATCATTTTGTTATTTTCTTTCACAAAAATTCAAGTTCTCGTTTTAGATATTCACCACTGGAGCCATTCTTTACATTAATGTGAACAAAGACCCTGTTTTACCTCTTTGCTTTTTTAATATGCTAATTTTCCACCCTACTTCCAAGAAAATTGCGAATTTATTGGTAGTCAGTAGTTTCATTTCTCATGTACTGGTTTTTATTTTGAGTACATCTGCAGATAAGCAGTTTAAATATATAATTATTGGTCACTTTGTCATACATCTAAATATTATTTTCTACATCTGGGGTTAGTGAAAGTTCAGTATTGTTCACTTTCACATTACATATATGAACATCAATATGGTCATCCAGTAAAACCATCTCACCAAAAACGCTAATTAACAACATAGTTCAAGAAACACAAGCCAAGAAATCTCAATAAAACTAATCACTGAAATCAACAAAGAACAGCTTTATTGACCTTTTCAAAGTTTGGCCTCAAATAAACCTTTCGTGTATATAATACTAGAAGGAGTGAATAGTAGTCATATACTACCCCTACCAATTCGTAGATTTGGTTAGCCAAACGGGTGATATAAATGTTTAATTCTATCAAATACACCATAGATTATAAATCATGGTATTACCAGTATGGTTTTCAATAAAAACTATGTCGACATGACAGCTGATTGGTTGAGGAAATATTCGGTTGTGAGAAATATTGATTCGAACAGTAGGATTTATAAATAATTCGAGAATTATTCGTTTAACCTTAGTAATATTTACTTCTAATTTCCTCTACATGCTTTACTAAATAAAGAAAATATTGAAAATATTTTACACCTTGCAAATAACTCAATTGATAAATGTTTTCAACAGTGAAGTAGTACAGATATACATACGTATTGTCGATTATTTTGCAATTAATGGACATAAATAATGAGTAATCTTTAAGTTCCTTCCAATTATAGAGATCAATTTATCATTTCCTAGGTAAATTAAACTTAATGAGAAATAGTTTCATGTAGATCAGTAATTAATTATAGTTTGATATACTTACTAAGTTTTTATTTCTAATTTATTAAGAACTTGAAGTATTATAAAGTTAGATAAACAAAGTAGATCAAGTGAAGTTTGAAATTGAAACATATATATATATATATATATATATATATATATATATATATATATATATATATAACTTACAATGAAAGTACATCTGATTTATGATTGTTACATACTGAATCATCTTTCTTGGCAAAAGGAAAATTATTCAGCAATTTTCTGTCATCATGAATATAAGTTAATTTATTAGCCCATCGTTGACGAATAGCATTCTCTTCTAATTCAGCTTCATCAATTTGTTTTAAAAGTTCTTGAGCAGCAGAACAAAGTACGCGACAATCATCAAGATCTATGTAATATGAATATATATAATAGCGGGTATTTCATAAGAATACAAGTCAATCATAAGATATGTGCTATTTTCGAAAAGCATTGAGGTAACTATTTTCAACTATACTATTATTATCTAACCTATAACCAAGATTTATTGAGAAGATTTGTAGCCCAGGTGGATGATTTTGTTGAAGTTTCATCCTCTGAACTGGATGATTAAGATGTGGAGCTTTCATTGTTCTTCTGGACAACATCATCGGTACATACTTCAAGTAGATGTAACTTAATGACATGTATAAATCTCATGAATGTCACCACAATGACAATAATTTTTGACACAATAAATAAAGAAACATCTAAAGAGATCCTTCTGAAGAATAATATTCGGTGTTGTTGAGTTTTATGGTACCAACCTGACTCCATAACGATAGTCGAAGGAATGAACCGTGGACACAAATTCTCCGTTTGGTCTCGTATATTTTACTTAAGCTAACCCCGTTTAGATGGTGGCAGTAATAAAAAGCTCTATACGAATTAAGCTGGAAGAATTAATTTCAAGCACTCTTTTAACCAGAAAGACGATGGGAAATGTTAATCCGAGATGACAAACGTGGCTGCTCGATTTGGTTAAAACATGACTCAACATTTGTAGGTATGATAGATACAAGCAAGTGTATAGATACATACTATCACGCACACATCTTAAGGTCACATGTGTAAATGACAAGTGGAATGACTAAAGTAGTTTAACTATCCACAAATTAGGACAAATCGTATAGTGGTGTAACAATACCAAACGCTACAGTTCTCTGAAGTGGATGGCTTATTTACTGAGGTTACATTTTTTTTCTGGGAAGTCAAAGCTTGTGTTCAGTATTTTGAGGTAGTCAGAAGGAAACTCTGGACCTAGGTATTGTCCTAGTTGGCATACGGCAGCAAAGCGTTCTCGAGAATTATAGGATTCGAACCCACATCACCTAGCTTTATGACAAGTGTCAACTAGGAGATAAGCTGGATCCATGGTTTCTTGCCGACGAATTTTAACCCCTGAACATCCAAACATAGTGAATGTGATGTCTAGACATTTAAACTTGTGGCTGCATTAAAATTTGATTGCTAGGATTCATCCAGTATCAAAGGATTAGATAAACATTTCATTGGTCACTGCTCACTGATCAATCAATTGTAAAATATGACTGTGTATCGATTTCAAGTTTAGCTTTAATTTAGTTCATTGAAAATCTCTTACTAACTACAGGTTTGTGTACTCAGCCTTGAACTATACTGTTTGAGGGGATGACGAGCTTTTTAATATTATTTGGCTGAGTAAAACAAAGTAGGTGGAGCCGATTGTCTGCTAACCTTCAACCTATTAGCTGAAAGCTCTAAATAGAAGTTAATAGTTTTGGGAATGCAATTAAACTGAAAATTGATCAAAGAGCTACTAATGATGGTTAGGGACCAGACGGCCACTTTATCATAATTCTGAAACTCATCGATAATAAATACATTTGACCTCTCAAGCAGTAAAACCCAAAACAAACATTGAAATTGTACCGTGTTAATGTCACAACCAAAAGTTAAAGCACTATTTTAAGGAACAATTTCTAAAAAAACAATACTATAACTAAAGTTAATAGGTTTGAGTATGCTAATGAGAATATATATTTACATAAGAAATGAATTACTTGATTTTATCGTGTTGATGGTAAGCTGGTTAGATGAGTTCTGAATGTGTTGGTCATCAGCAATTCCACACAAGGATTTCACTGGACTCTGATTCTGATTGATGGAAAATGGTTCAGTAAATAGAAACAGAAAACAGGGTTAAAAAATTGGGTAAATATGCGCCATGAAAAAAATTATTGTGCCGGAATAGCTCAGTGGTAACATATCCGACTAAGACACTGCTTAGCCCCTTATTTCAGATTGCAATCAAAGATATTTTAAATAATTCGCTTACAACAAACTCATATTCTATATCGCTTCTTCCTATTTATTAATAAACCCCCACTGATCAACGTATGAATCTTGCTCTATATATTTTTACAGGTAAAATAAACACTCCCAAAGAAAAATAAACAAACTTAAATATAATGGCGAGCGTTCTTACCAAGCACAGTATGCAGTCCAAATTTTAAATGAATGAATATGGTTCGAAAGATAAATGTACAAAAGCGGGTTTCTATTACCTTTAGATACTCTCCAGGTTGACAAGTAACAGCACTAGACCCATCTAAGTTCAGTGAATTAATAGCTTGCTCCCAAAGTGAAGATACCTTTGAATCATAATGATCTCTAGCATTGATTGAAATGGAAGTTGGAGACATTGGACAATTATCATGAGTTAAGTTGACACCATTAAATGAATGAGATTTTATTATTTTACTAGAATTTCGTGTATTCGGTTTACAAACTAAGTGAGAACGTAAAGCTGATGATTTTGGACGTATAATAGATGAGATTACTGATTTTGAATTATTTGCAGGGATTTTTAAAAGTGACTTCTTCCGCACTTTACAAGTTGATCCTAATTCTTGAGATTGAGCTTTATTTGACAAACACTTTGCCCGAAGTTCTTCTAATGCATCTGAATATTGAGATAACTTGGTTTGTAGTTGACGTATTCTAGATTCCTAAGTATTTCAAATAATCAAATCCAAGAATACATAATTGAATAACAGCAACAACAGTAACTATTATTACATAAAAAGATTTCGAAACAAAAAAGATAAGTACTATCCAGACCATTTGACCATTAAAAAATTTCTGGAAAAGGTTTCTTTATAGGTCAGCGATAGACTTAGTTAACGAAATAGAAAATTTTAAAAGTCGAATGACCGGATATATATATTCTTTGATTTTATTGAACATGGTTTATTTAATGACTATGATACCGCTATAGAACTCAAGTCAACACAGGTGTTTTTTCAGGAGGCCGACATATACAACCTGTTTGATGTAGAATGTAGTTGAGGAGCGACAAAAGTCGTATTTCCAGAGTATCTAGTGACCATACACTAATCTTTCTTTCGGAATACTGGGGTTTAAAAGCAGAACTTTGAAAATCAAGGTTTTAAAACTGGTCGAGATAGACTTTCTGCACTATCAACCCGATTTCAGTCTTTTTATTTTGTGAACATGTCTCAGCTAGGCAAATGTGATAAGCAGAACTCCTCTGAGGGAAAACTCTATACAAAGAAATTCAGGTAGAATGATAGCATTCAACGGCATCTGTCGATTGATCCAAACCAGTAATAAGGTTATGTAGGGCTGCACGATATCGTCCTTCGTTTGTACCTTTGGTGACGTGTATAAATATCATGAATGCCATTCCAACAGCTACCATACTTACAGTATCTTCTGACACTAAGAACAAATTAAGAAAGTATTAAGACGTGACATCGTACTACCAAGAATATTTGTGTTAACTTATTATCACTTCTTAGTGGGAATTCTAGATAATACATAATTTAATGACCTGAACAATTTATCAAACATGGTTCAAAATTAAAGAAAGAGATAGTCATACAGCAGATTATTGCATACTTCGTGAATCGTAAGATGCACTTTGGAAAAAATAGAATTCCTTTTAGTTTTGCTCTTGTTTGAACTATCTTATTTATATTGTTGTCGCAATTTTCTTTTTTTACTTTTTAACCAAAACTTTATATGGATTATATCTTAGGTTCTTTTGTGGCGCACTCTTATGTCAAGATAAACAATTAGTAAAAAATGAAGTTTTACTAACCTAATTAGCATTAAAGAATTAATAGGCACCGTGGTTTCAACAATCCAACCCTAAAATTCATCTATCCAAGTACGACGCTGAAGAAGTCAATACTTAGGCTATAAAACTACCATCTAATTATCAGATAAACTCTAATTTACTTAAATAAAAATATTGGTTGTGTAGTCTTATTAGATTTCTGCTGTGTTAACGTAAAGCAACTGAATAATATTCACCATTTAGTTATATTTCAACAGTATATTATTTAAGAAGAGAATGCTCAGTAATTTGGACATAAAAAGTGACCTTTATTCAACTAAGTGCTCATATTTTGTCGTTTTTCCTTCAAAACTACAATTTTAAAAGGTTTTTGTATTTTTGTTAATAAATATTGACCAATAAGTTAGTGTTGTTATAAAAACAATTGTTATTATGTAGCAGCTATTAAAAAGTTTTTCAGCCGATAATTGCAGTATAAAGTTAGAAAATATACCTGTGAATTTCTGAGCTGCTTTTCAGTTGGTTCATGAAGAGCACGCTTACGATTCGGCGTCCAGGTATCTGTATCCCGTATTGGAGGAGAATCACTACAAGCTGGTGCCTTGTCGTCAAATGTTTGATAATGTGTATTAGTTGCAAGTTTGCGTGTAGTCTGATAGAAGTCATTTCTTGAGGGAAGTATTCTAGGTTTACTCAAAATTGATTTATACTTCTGATCAGTACTTCTAACAACCTAGTTAAAACAACAGTATTAAAATTTTTAAAAGGTGTATTCCTCAAAAATATATACAATAGTTGATAGTCAGGTACTATTAATAAGCAGAGTGTTATTCACTCTAGTAAAAATGTCACATTATCAGAACAGATAATATGCACATGAACTTTAACAATACACATCTGTGCTCATCAATTCTTGTACAAAGATTTTGTATAGTACTATGGTTTATAAAGTTAGAGTATTCAGAACTATTGGTTGATCTGCTGAAATCACCATACTGCCTTTTATTAACAAATCAACAGATAATCTAACTTTTCGGTAGTCTTTCAACAATCGTGCAAACTTAAATACATAATACTAACAAGATAACTCAACTGAACCTACCGAATAATGAATGCTTATTCATGCAACCGCTTTAGCTAAGATTTGAGAAACATTATTCAATATTTTGGAATATTTGTAATAAAAATCGTTTATACTATCCCTGACTATTTTATAGGGAAACGTTTGAAGTTAACCTAGAGAAGACTACTAAAATACTTCAACTAAAAATCGAACGTGCAAGAAAATGACATTTAAACTGATTTCAAAAGGTTGACTTGTAGAAAAATAAACTTGGAAGGTGATATGTTAAAGAATTGTGAGGAATACGATAAGAACCCTTAGTCCAAGTTTCATTGTTCTCAACACTTAACAAAACGCAATAGGTTGTTTATTCTTTAGTGCTGATCAAATTCTTTCGGTCATTTTCTAGTACAGCCTCCAAGTTATAAATGCTTACCACTAATGAATGTAAAAATGAATCCTGGATAAAAGACTTTCTGTTAATTGCCTTTGATAGCAAATAAAAATTAGTGGAATATTGGGTCACTTAGTTTAAGTAACACACTTGAAACTAAGTCGATGAAACTCTATCAGAACCGAAAAAAGCAACATAACACTATTATAATTTAATGATTGATGAGTACAGTACGTGGTTGAGTCAATATATATGCTACACTCTATTATACTTTAGAATACAATCAAGAAAATTTATTCATATATGAAGATTATGAATCAGAAAATGGTTTATCTAATTGAACATTACTTGAGTTGGTTTTTGGACAAGAAGATTGTCAACTGGAGACGAAAGGGAACTGATGTTGAAATTTTGAGCTGTTTCAGGAATGTATCCATCGTCTTCAATTTTACTAGAAGATAAGCATCTAGCATCCCGTTTCGCGATTTGAACAGCCAAAAGTAACCGATCACGATCAATATACTGAAACCCACAAGATTCCTTGATTCCTAACGATACCTTATTCTGGAATTTTTGCAAAGTAAAAATATAAATAGTAAAGACGAGTTGAATATTAAGTAACAAGCCAGCTTTTAACACTTAAAATGCAGTCAAAAATTTTAGTAGAAAAATCACTTGAAGTAGAAACCAATTTTCTAAAACAAATTAAGCAATCTTAAAAGAAATACTAGAAAATGAAAAATCCTTTATTTTTTTGTTGTTGAACAGTGCTAGGAGTAATTAATGTGGTATATAAATGTTTTTCTCGGACCATTCTCGGTTAAAAAATCCATAAACTTGATTGTTGCGAAAGATATCTATAACTGTTTTGGAAACATTAGGAAAAGTCAACCATCAAGCAAAAATTACCAACCTATTCCATGTTAAAATGTTTCGTATAACTTGTGTCTATTATACTTCATGGAACAATATTGATCGTTAAATTATAAATATACACATTAGCAGTCAAACTGGTTCATTGTTATTGTTATTATTACTCCTACTGCTACTACCAAGTTGCATGAACAACTGGTTTAAAGTCACTGGATGGTACAAAATAGTTCTCTAGGAATTGGTAATTTCATTGACCAAAGGTTGAGGCATCTCGTGCTCTCAAAATCAGTTTGGGGGTTTATTCTGAAATTTTTCTTTACATAAAAACAGGAAGTACAAAGTTTATCATATCAACTTCTAGATAAATTGATATTGACCTAAAGTTGATAAATCAAAGCCGTATACTCACCGACTTAATACCTATCCTGCAATACCTTATCTTAAAAAACTGGGACAATTTTGGGGAGAATCTTTGTCAACGTCAATAATTCTTAGGCTTGATGATCATTTTGGAACTCAGAGCTGCCAGAATATATGCTAATAGAGCTTAATCAAATAGACTCAACATGTGAAATGCTAATACTATAAGGTCGCTACCTTATACTCATGTTTTACCTTGTAAAAACAATACTTTTTTATTATTCTGCTCACAAACAAAATAAATTATAGCTTAGTATAGTAATTTATAACTAAAATACATGCCAACCTAATAACAGAGTTCCTTGCAATCCATGAAAAGGTACAGACATAGGATGTTGCATAGGTGAAACATAAAACCATAATAATTATGATAGCAACTCGTTATACAGTAAATAAGAAACATCCACCAAGGGTGAATTCCTTGAAATGACGGATTGTGGTAAAGGATCATTCAAGTTCCACATAATATGGTTAATATTTAAGAGCAAATACTTCATACTAGAATGATATTACCCAGTTCAATTACGTCGATAAAATATTTCCAACTATAAAATGTAAATACTAGTAGCCAGAGTGGAATTTATGATAAAACTTAAAATAAATTCATAAAAATAGAAGTTAAACAATGCAGATAGCAATCGGAAACCAAAACACGACTAAAATAATCAGATTTATCATCGATAGCAGACAATAAGCGTGCTTCAAAAATTAATACAAGTAACAGAACGAGTATATTTACAAATTGTATTCTTTAACAACTTTGGACACAGATTATAAGATAACAGGAGCTGCCAAGGCATCCTAAAAGTTTCATTAGTCAGTCATTATATAGAAAAACAGCCCCAGGTAAAATATCCGCACCTGCTTTTTGCAATTCTTGAGCTAAGTTGTATTTGACGCCTTCACATTCTGTTTTCAGTTTATCTACAATTAACTTTAATTTAGCACATTCATCTTCCAAAGTGAAGTTTAAACCAAACTTGTCTTCCTTTTCGAAAGGCTCTTTTTCATCGTTTACAATATTATACAGGAAATTATATGGCATTAATCCAGTATCAGTGGGAAAGTTTGCAAACATTACAAGATCTGTGAGAATGAGCAATTCTTTGTGTATATATGACAAAATATCCTCAGTAGAATTAAGACCCTCGTTCATTATGAGATTTTTACACAGACCTGGCTTAGCATCATTTAAAAGATGAGAGTATTCGACATTAAAATGACTCATAGAGTTACACAGTCTTGTAACAAGCTCAATAAATTCACAAGCAGGGTCAGATACCCATTTATTTGGAAGAGTTTCAGGCAAATTATTTTCATGAACAATTAGAACACTACGAATCCATTGCCAAAATCTATGATTTACATCTCTCCAGGACAATAACAAATGTAATTTCGAATCACTCTCCTGTAGGTTGTGAATATGCTGACGGAGAGCATTCGGCTCTAGGAGAACCCAACAGTGAGAGGGTGGAAGTAATTTCGGTTCTTCTATAGATAATTTAAGGAAGTTTTTCATAGTTTCACCTTTCATGTGGTACAATTTTTTCAAATGAATGCGCAAACGACCAAGCAGCCAAATGAGTCTAGGTATAGACACGTCACTTCCCGAAAAAGTGGTTAAGATCGATTCATTTTGATGAACGACCCTATTCTTTGTCATTCCAACCGCAGTAGAAATCAAAATTTGTTCAACTTTTGGTAAGACATCAAAAGAAACTAAGATCCATATAGATCCCAGAAGCAATTGCCTTGATGTGAAGTTCTCATCAACATTTTTACGTATTAAAGGAAATCCATATGTCAACAAACTTTGGAATATAAACTGATGAATTTCTTTGTCCGAAAATTTTTTGAAACCTTCAGAACACAATTCATCCACACACCCATATTTGATAAAATATATAAGTTCAAATACAAGCCGCTTGATCGGATATAATGCACGTATGTCATCAAACTTAGCCAGCCGGACACTTTCTGCTTCTAGTTCTGAGAATCCAACAGATTTTAGAATACTAATAAAAATTTTAATGCAATATTTTATGTCGACTGGGCCGCTCATTAGAAACTGGTGTCTATGACAACCTTCTAATATTCAATATCTAAATGGTTCAAATGGTTGTGGACGGAATAGAAGAAGCTTTCGCTTAACAGGCTTCCATGTCTAGTAGCAGGGGATCACCAATACCTTCAGGCAATAACCTAAGTATATTAACGATGAAAGAAAAAAAGAAATTGGTGTGTGATATGCTTATATAAATCAATTGGTTTGTTGGTCATGGATTGCCTCGCGAGGTGCAGTAGTGAGGCTCGAGTGTGATGTTTTTATTCATTTGACCAGGAGTTTTAGTGTGCAGTAAGTCATTAGCAAATTGTCTCATTCTCTCCTTTAGCTTGACGAAAACAATCCTAGGTAGTGTTATCGGCTTCACAGTGTTTATACCATAATCTTATGATCCACTTGGGTGCGTTGCGCAAAAGACACTGTTGGGCAGAATGCAAACGAACTGATAACATCGGTGCGTACTGGCAACACAAACATGTAAGAAACATATGCACAAAGGCAATAAGTTAAGACAGGTTTCAGTACCAGACAAAGCTTATCGATAAATTTGTCTGCAATCTGAAAAGCTGATTCCATTATGCAGCCTCTCTTCGACAAGCGAAACCTGGAGTTTCCAAACCGCTAGGTCCTAATAGCCAGACCTATAACAACGATGACGTCGCTAACCTTCTGACTGAACAATACTCTCGGACATTTCAACCGACTCACATTAACTATATTGATGAAAGCTTCGTCTGCAACTGCATACGACTTTCCGAAGTGAACCTGGGCGCTGACATGGTGTACCGGAAACTGCAGCACCTAAGAAAAGACACTTCTGGTCCGGATATGGTTCATTCTGTTATACTGAGGGAAGCAGCTTCAATCCTGGCAATACCGCTTAGCGTGTTGTTCTCACATTCTCTAAGCCGAGGCACTTTACCGGAAATTTGGAAGCTGGCTCACACCACACCAGTTTTCCAGTAAGTTTGACACAGCAAGCCTTCACGCTACCGACCTGTGGCTCTTCTCTCTGTACCCTCAAAAATTATGGAGTCCTTGACATGCGACGGTATACATAACTATTTATTGTCCTTAAACTACTTCTCACCCCAACAGCATGGTTTCAGGCAGCATCATTTTTGTATAACCAACCTGCTGACTGCGGTGGACAGATAGACAACCATCCTTGATCGCAAGGGAAAGATTGACGTCATCTACCTTGACTACTCAAAAGCTTTTATTATTATCATTATTATTCGCAAAAATCTTATGGGTACATAAGTGTTGTAAAAAAAACATTTCGGGTTTCTTCGAAAATGCAATAGTACACAAGTTCCAATAATGTTAGCACTATATTTACCATATTTGAAAAAGAGAATAATAATATTAGAGTAATAATAATAAATCAGGTTCTGTGCTATTGAGAAGCATATTGAATTGAGTTTAAAGAAAGAAAGGAAGAAAATAAGGGAATAGAAATAAAGGAGATGTGAAATACGCAAATAGTTTAATAGGCGTGTTTATGAACACGGAACAAGAATAAGCGACTATGAATATATCGTCAAGTTAGTAAAAAAATTGACTTCACTTTCTCTCAGGCTATGGAATGTCCTAGTGGGGTCCCCCAGGGTTCAGTAATAGGACTTCTTATTTTCTTGATTTATATAAACGATCTTCCACCACAAGTATCGTCTAATTTATAACTTCCTGATAATGTGAAACTTTATAGGGAAATAGGCAACCAAGAGGATATACTGGCACTTCGGAGGATCTGACTCGACTTTAAAGTTGGACAGATGACAAAGGACTTACATTTAACACTTCAAAGTGTAAAGTAGCCCATCTAAGACATGTTTCAGGCTCTAGCTACAACTAAGGCAACGCCCCTCTAGAAGTATTCCAGGCTGACAAAGATTTAGGAGTGCTGGTACCCCATGATTTGAAGTCTTACACCAAATGTGACAAAAATACCTTTCGATAAAAATTTGTACTGGTAACATTGAAGCACCCTCACTTCGAAAGGGTTAGGACACTTTGAAACGTATCCAAGTCACAACACCAGTTCAAGGACTCAAATTCAAGCCTTATGAAGGGCGCTTCCAATCACTAAACCTTTGCCCATCAGAGTACAGGCGTCTTAAAGGTGACCTTCTAATGGCTCACAGTATCCTTAAGACTTCTGGACATCCTCTTAAACTCCTACTTAAGTTTAGCTCAAACACAAACCCAAGAGATAACAACGAAAAACTGGAGACACAACATAGCAGGACGGACTGTAGACACATTTTCTACTTCTAAAGATTAGTCAAATGCTGGAATTCGCTGCCGGCTGAACTAGTTCAAGAGACTTCCCGGGAGTGCTCTAAGAGAAAACTCCACATATTCTTCAGGACTACGGATAGTATCTTACTACGATTTGCCAATTTCTTTTTCCACTTTTTTCGTTAATATATCTATGTTCCTGCCTGAAGGTTTTGGTGATCCACTGCTACTAGACACGGAGGCCCGTTAAGCAAAAGATTCTTCTATTCCGTACAAAACCATTTGAACTTGTCCCGAGAGGTTTCTATATCATTACTGGAGAGGAGGTGCTAACATGTTGTGTGTGTTTCTAGTCTTAGGCTAATGTGTGTTTAAAATACTTTCAGGAAGATACCAGGAGTCAGCACGCCTTATTGTCACTGTAATAAGTGGAGAGTAGAGTAGGCTTAGACTTCATCTCCCTATTAGTTGCCAGTGGTGTCTAAGCCTCTCATGGTTAATGGCTCAAAATCGCGCTCTGTAGGGACATGTGAGAGAGGATAATAGTATACGGGATAATCTTTACGTGTTCTATGGGTTTGGGTGTACATAACATTATATTTCGGCAGATTAAATTTCAGTCTACTAATCACCACCTAACCTCTTGTTGTTTCAGGACCAATTGAGATTTGAATGAGTTTTCTTCACTTAGTATGAGTTTCCATATGTTTTCATTATCCTCGTAGGTTAGGGAAGCTGAGCTAACTTTTTCTACAATATCATTAAAAAGGGTGATGAAATGGAGTGGAACTAAGATGGTCCTCTGTGGAATGTTTGACAACATTGTCGTCTTCCTGGGGTACTTCGTTTTTGAACACATTGTATACGGTTCTTTCGATGGTTAATACTCCTCGTTGGTGCTTGGAAATAGACACCTTCGACCGATCATTTGATAGCAAATAGTTTAATGTTAAGGTTTCACCGTCCCTCCTCCTTCACATATTCCGTCTATCATGAACTTCTAATGGTTGTGACGAGCTGCTCGCTGGATTACTCTAAATGGGAGGTATCATGCTTGCCGAGATTTAGGAACGGAGTGTTGAAGACTACGACTAAGAATATCTGATCGCCACCCGGGCTTGCCAGTTGTATTAGCACCTGGATCATCTTGTCTTTCTGGATGTACATGTACAGAGCCAGTATATTTCTCCAAGTAAGTATTTAATGCCATTTGCATTAAAAAAACCAACTTGACTATGCCACTTCAGTTAATCCTGTTAGAGCTTTGAAGTGTCTGTTAGCTTGCATCGCCTCTCTTCATATTTTTGCGTACTCCATCAAATAGTAAACTTGCAGTTTACTTAGTCGTCCGTGATGTCAGTTGAGGGCCGGTTTTTGGTTATAATTATGATCTACATATTCAGCTGAAAGCACGTTTTAGATCTCTCCCAATTTACCAATGGTCATCATATGTTGCTATAGTGCCACCTGACGGCTTGTCTCATTGCTTAGTGTTCTTCAATGGAAGTATGTTATATAAAAAATTCATAATCTTAGGTGGGTCAACCAGTTTTGTGGGAACTGGCCGAAGTAGATCTTTTCCCAAGTAGCATTTCTCATTAGCCGGATTGTGGCCTTAACATACTGTAGCATGAATTGCTAATCTGTGTCATCTAACGCTAAGGCGTAATCCAAACAGATTTTCCGCTGTTGTCTTAACTATCTAGGTGGGCCTTCGTATCTGATGTATCTGGGGAGGTCATTCTTTAGGTTGTACCAGTCCCGACGAGCCTTAGCTCGATTTTGTCGGTTTATGAAGTTCACAGCGATAGGATACGGGAACTTAATGGTCACAAGGTGTAACGGACGCGTAAGTCAGAACACGTCAGTTTCAATAGTTATAAGAGGGTCTGAGACACGTAATATCTAACGCCACTGTAACATTTCGTGTTTGTCAACTACATCTGGACTATCACATACCAGTTAAGACATCCTGTGACCCACCATGCTGATTGATCTGTGGGTGTTTGTCGTAGGAAGTTCATGAGATTAGTTTCAAGGGAGGAAAATAAGCGAACAGTGACAATTAGACTACTAGAATACAAATCGGACAGTTTCGAGTATTGATAAATACCTTACCAAAAAGGGTTATTCATAACTATCATGCAATAGTGGCGACAAATAAGGTAAGAAACATGAATCAACGAAAAATTGGAGAAAGTATCCTTTTCTGCTATTCGACATGATTGAACTCCATTCCTCGATAAAGATCATAAGCACTGAGCGCGTATATTATAGTCGATTCGCCGCTTGAGATTGTCTAGTTAGAAGGCTATAGTCACGTTAGCTGAAACAGCATTACAGAAAAGATCAATAAGAGGTGAGAAAATGTTCAGTTTGATGAAAATCCTAATCCCCTAATGTGCAGTCAGATACCGATAACCTCGTTGGTCGCGACTGAGAATTTCGGAAAGGTCATTTTGTCTGAGTATCATATGATGCTTAATATGCTGTGCATTATTACACGATTGCCTCTTATTTTCTTGTATTCTAAAGGGAATAGTCCCAAGCGATTAAGCCTTTTCTGACAGGATCTTTCTCTCGGCTCTATAACTCACTTTATTCCTAATCACTGTGGCTGTTCCAATGGATTGTGTCTCTTTTAAGAAAAGAGGACTCAAAAACATTGTGCTATTCTGGGTGAGATCGATAACACATTTTAAACAATGTTAGCACCAGACAGCCATCGTTCAAATGGGAATTTGCAAATGCTTGAGTGGGATTCCCAGTGTCATATGTGTTAACATCTAAATGCTCTGTGCAGACGCTTGTCAGAGGGTAAATTCAGGAAATATATGTTGCTCTTGTCATAAGAGACTAGTTGATCATAACGTGACATTAAATACATCGTTTTCCGTTCATGTCTTCAGTGTCGCTAAATCTTTTTACAGTTAAAATGTGTCTTCGTAACATTCCATTTACCTCCAGATTTTGATACCAGAAACATGAACGAATGTCAGTGAACCTATCTGTTGAAAGATTATCTGTGAAATCAAGAGCGAAAAAGGATCTTTGAATGGTTTTTTGTGTCATCCGTCCTCAACCACACGATTATTGAAGCCGAACATACGACGTGGTCATTCTATGTTCAATCCTCAGCCTAAATATGTTCTTCAGAGGTCCTAAAGATCATATCGCCAGATATCACGGTAGTGGGAGTCAGTATAGAGGGTGACGTGACTTATATGCATGATCTTATTGACTGGATAGTCTCATCATAGCCAATCTACAATTTGGGGATTATATCCATTATCCTTGTGTCAAGGGTAAGTGCGCTTAGTACTCTGTTGAAAATCTTCCCTTCTGATATGGGTAGAATATAAATTGGTTGTTCATATATCTGGGCTTCGAAACTAAATGAACCTAATTTTACCTTGTCATTTGATATCACGAATCTTTCAAATTAGTGAAGGCCAGTTAGTGGACTTTTACACGCTTGCTAAGAATTCGAGCGAGACGGTCTACCCTCAGGTTTGTCGGTACTTCTGTTTGGAGAATGTTTTCTGTGGGTTTGATGCGTGACACGAAAAGTGTAATCTAGTTTCATTGGACCCTAACCACACGACCTTTGAAGCCGGGCAAATAATTACTGAAAAGATTTACATTCAACAATTGACACGAAGATAAGGTTAACAGTGGAGAACGCGAGAACATTCATTCAATGAGATGACATGGTTCAACTTTGCAGACGTGGTTATTCTGTTTAACTTGTCTTTACTCATATCAAATATATTATTCTATCTCTAGCCTAAACGTGTTCCTTACAAACACCAAACTTAATATCATGGATTGTTGTGATACGACGAGTCAGAATACACAATGATGTGCCAAACGATATTTGGTCCTTTAGTAGCCTTTTTACGAGTTTCCCACCAAATTTAATTGATCTACGTAGTTAAACGTCAACACAATGTGGATTGTAAACGTCTGAAGGATCTTTTGCGAAACTAAAGGCACGATAACGACTGAGTACAGCTCATACAGATTCGCAAATGTTGAAGCCTTATAGTTTTTGATTATCCAGCTGACTCTGATAGAGGATACTCAGCCCTCAAGCTAGTTTCAGGCCAAAGCTTTTGTAGATTAGTAAAATTAAACTTTCATATCTTCATTGTGAGAACTGTGGTTGATATAACGTTGGGTGTCTTAGAGAAGTCAAAAAACAGAGTGCTCTTCACTACTTTCTAGCATTAGTGGCTCATTCAGCTGCCCCGTGCTAACGAATGGTTGATGATATGTGATCTAGAACTATACAATGCTTAGTGAGGAGTTTTGTATTACCGTGCTTCCTCGTAAGAATACATAGCAGACTTTCCATTACGTAATGCAGCCGATGTGTAGCAGGTTGTATCACTTGAGTACAAAGGGTAAACATGATTTTGTATTGGGTCACACACTACCCGCATTTCGTATCTCTTCATATACCTGCATATTTCATTTCAAGAAGGACAATCAGTATTCGTCACCTCACAGTTCACTAATTCTCCCAAGTAAAGTTAAAGTTGATGAGGTAAGCGTCTTCAAATTAATAATTTTGCGTTTGACGTGAACTTGTTTTTCTGCTCCTATAGAACTGGGAATATACATGGACAGCCTCACAATGGTCACAAACCGAGAACCAGTTTCTTGATATCCAAGGCCAACTGTAAGCTCCCATCTACATGACTAACCACAACCTTAAACTCGTCAATCCTTTCCAAACTAAAAGCAAACTAACTCCCAAATATCCGATGATCTCCTTTGAACTATTAAAACCAAGTGGTAGGGTTAGTTTTACTACAGGCTCATAAAGATTTCGAACCGCTTCCTAATATTAAACAATGGTTACCGGTCCATAATTAGGCCTGGTGTTTCGATTTGCAGGTGTCCTTGGCGGGTAATATGAGTGACTTAAAGCCCAAGCTTGCCTTCTCATTTCTTCAGCGAAAAAAGCAACTGGTTTATAATCCTAAAGTCACATCTTTGGATGCAAATAATGGCGAAAATACTATTAAAGGCGAAAAAGAATTCATCACATCAATTGAAGATAAAATAATGCATGTATATGTGTGTTGTTAATTTATCATTTTAGCTGTTCAACTGCAAAAAAAGAAGAGCAACTTGTCATACCATTAAAGCGTAGTAAAAGCAGCTTTCAGGAGCGAATGAAAAAGAATTTCTTGCCAGTTGAGTCCTTGGACCCTCTTACGCTTCAGGCGTTGCAAGAAATTAAGGAAGGTATTGTATTGTTTCTCAGTAATTTTAAATATATAGAGAGCCAAGCATTTTCAAGTAATTCACACAATTTTCACGTAAATTATGATCTTAAAATACCTGCCAATAGTTCTGAAACCACCGAGGAAGTACGATCCTCTAATATTTTTACCTACAATTAGACTGAGAATGCAAACTATGATGCAATCCCTATTGAAAAGTTTGGTGTAGCTCTCTTGGCTGGAATGGGTTTTGACCCTAAATCTCTTGACAACTCTAAGAGGTATTCTCTGTTTCTTAGTATATCACCTCATAGAGAGGTTTTACTACCTCAGCGACCAAAGGGACTCGGACTAGGCGCAGACCCAACTGCAGTTCAAGATGCTAAACAAGAATTGCTAAAATCTAAAACAGAACAACTGACATGGGATCCCGGAGCGCGTTGTCAGATTGTATTAGGAAAGAACAAGGGTCTTTATGGCACGGTTAGTGAAAAAAATGTTTCTCTGACTTCTGTTACTTTATCAGATAACTGGTTTTTACATATTGAATCTGTTACAGAAGTTCACTTTACTAGTTGTACTTTCGAATAAGTAATTTTAAGTCGTAAAGTAGGTACCGTTTCAGAGCACGGCATAAAAACATTGTGCATAGTGGGTAAGTTTAGTTGATTCTTGTAGAAATTATGACTAAAAATGAAAGACTTGTGTAGCTAATTTCGGTTGTATCTTTTACTAATAACGAAAATAGCTTCGTCAATAAAATGGTATTTTCTACCTTATATAATGCCATAAATCCCAGAGTAACACATAATTGTATTTATCAATCTTATTTTGCGGTCATTTTGATGTACTTGAATAACTCAGCTTTTATTCTTCAAGAATCAGTAGCCATCCTTTGTCCACTTGAAGCTGTAGTTAGATTCCAAGTTTGAAAGTAGAAATCTCAAACTTTTCAAGTGACTTAACAGTTTTGTAAAATCTTATAACTGTAGTACACACAGATACTCATTTATTGCATCCCCCTATACATCTACTTCAGGGTGATTGATGTAAAGGACACTTACAAAATATTATCAATCATAATCCACAACTTGAGTATCGGATTACGAAAGCCTAAACACACACATTTTCAACCCTGCAGTCATCTTAGTTGTAGAGCAGTCGATGTTTCAGTCCTAACCTGTAACAAGCATGTATCGTGATTACTTACAATCCTAATGACCCCTAAATACCCTGGTGCGGCCGAGGGTGAGGAGAGTTCTCTCTCCTCTAAATGCTCTCACAGGGTCACGTTTATACAGCTATTGCCAGGGAAGTTGTACTCACTGCTTTTTCGCGGCGGGGGTGCTGTTTACGAAATTGAGAAGACGATAAGCGAATATCCGGTGCTTTAAATAGGTTGGTTGGTACAGAGGATCCACCTCCGGCAGTTGGAAAACCCTGATTCCAAACCAATGGTGCACATGGGCTCCAGGATCCTGAGGGAACAAAAGGTTTATAAACCAATTGTTGGTCACCGGCTACCGTGGGACTGCATCTCCTGACGTTTCTCCACTGCTTTGTGGATTAGACCTTCAGGTCAAAGGCTCGGGATGTGGCCCCCTAAGGAAACGACCTGCTTCGATTTGGGCGTCCGGGCAGTATCACATCTCACACAAATCAATGATAACTGTTACCCGCCTCATTGTTGTTGTGTGGCGCATATGTATTTGGTGCCCCCTTGTACCAATGTTTATGCGCCCTCAAATAGACATACTGTATAGGTTTCATTCCAAAATGATGTGATATGGTTTACCATGCTTGGAGTAAGCAACTAGGTCGGTTCTGTGATTTGAACCTTACCTTCGTCCTTGGAAAGGACTGATAATAAGCATTCTGGATTCGACAGAAATGAAGATCCTAATATATGGAGCCCCGCATCAGTACCTTACCTAAACGTAACTTACGTTCTTGAATACTTCCCGTCCTAATTCTTATTATTTTACAAGAGCTCATGAATATTTACCTCTCGATACGCTTTTACCCATTGTCTATCAGGAATATTGGATCACCATTTCAGTTCGAATTTATTATAGTTATACTCGATGATTCCCTAGAGGTCAAACTCCCTCCTAGCTACCCGTCGCAGATACAGACTTTCTGGTTCAGGTTCTCTAGATTTTAGAAGTTAGTGATTATTGGTTTCTCTTGTAGGAATGGGCAAACTACTCAAAAAAGGCAGCTATAAATTAGTGTCTAAATCCGTAAGTCACAGACTTCATGTTACTGCATACTTATCTGTTCCTTGTTGGTTTCCTGTCGATTATTGTTTCGGTTTTCTATTTTGCTTATTCACTCTCTTCATGTTGTTGTAGTTCATGTCAGCTTGAGTGATTTATTTTTATATTTAATTCCACGTAGTTTCGTTCGTTTATTTGTATGGATACCTAAAGTACAAATTAGTTTGTGATGGACCTTGATAGTTCGAAAGTTTATTTTCTTTCGTATACTTTTTACATTTACATTTTCTACTATTTGAGTGATAAAATATGAACTGTTAAATTTATTTAAACCTCAGTTTCATAGATCTTTAAATTCACTGGAATCAAGATTGGTGCATACATCTCTAATGGTGTAAAATCACCTTATAAAATTTAAAGTTACACAGAACTTCATGTAGTTTCATTCCTCTGGTAATATGTTAGCCAGAATAAAAAAAGGTATCGACGTTGGGAAATCTCAAGTTTTCGGAGTAATTGGAAAATACTACATGAACATATCCTCGGAAAACACTACCATTTACGTCGGTTTGTTGTTTTACGTTAAGTGGGAGTATAATTTGAGGAGCTTCAAGGCAACCAGCCAAACTAATACTTAAAGTCTGGCTGTTTGTCTGAGTCACATACGCTTCCTATATAAGTTATTCACAATAGTTAAAATTGATGGCCTAGAACCAACCTTTGGAGTACATTTGCATTCAGTCCATTTTTATTATATCTGGAACTTCTTAATCCGGGTTCTAACTTCTTTCTTTTATCCTTTCCTTGTATTTTACTCATCAGTATAGATGTCATTGCTTATATTCTTGCTTTTTCTACTTTTGGGTTTTCTATTCATCAGGATCGATGTAGGACATTATTATTTGAATTAGTGAACAGTAATCTCAGACATTAGGTTGTCTATATCTTTCAATTTATTGATTAAAAGGAAACAAAGTCATTCTCAGGAAACTTAACGTCACGTTTAGATTTAGTAAAGTGTATTTTGTGATGCAAAATGCCCGAGTAAAACTCATATCAATGGACAAACATTTTTGCTTGCCCATAGTACTCTTTTTCTTCCTAAAGATACCGCAGTTTGAATAAAAGTACCAATACTTTACTGATCACAATACGTATTATAATTGCCATCTTAAAAGTAATGTCAGACATTTTAGTACATACTGGAACTGATTAATATTTATCTTTGATTTGTCTTTGAGAAAAACTTTTTTGTTTCACGCTTTATCTTTATGTAAAACTGACAATGAATTATTATAATCTTAAGTAAATAAACTAATCTATGTAAATGATGCTTGTGCTAAAGATTCATGTTTCTTAGAGCATGTATCATCGATTAGTAAATGAACAACGTTAATTATGCTTCTGCATTTATAGTAAAATGGATCTTCACAGGTGATTCATTGTCTTATCTAATGATGAGTTTATCGTGGACTTAAAGTTTGTAAAATTGATTCACAGAAATCTTGTACCTGATTAAAATATATTTTTAGATCAAAAAGTTTTAATGAGTTATTTTGTCACCATAATCTCTTACATGATATGAATTAGATATTTTAAGAAGTTAATCTTCATACAGATTTCCGTCACTAACGATAAGATCTAAAAGGTATGGAAGTAACATACCTAAAACTACTCACAAAACGGCTATATGTGACCAGCCTCAAACAGTTCTTCTTTTGGAGTTGTGATCGCGCTACTAGGTCTTCAAAACCACTTCTAACCCAGTTTCCTCTCCAGAGCCCTTAAAAGAATGTATTCCACATTTTTGGCAAATAGTGATAACCACTATTGGAGATTACCTTTATTTTCACGCTCTTCCATGAAATGTGTTGTGTAAGCCTTACTAACCAACATATAAGTAGATAAAAATCACTCACACCATTCTTAGAAATCTTTATTTTGTTTTAGACTAGATTTCCTAAGTTTAACCACTGTTTAAATTAAAATCTTTTTGCTTTCTCACTATAGATTCTTCAATTTGATGTCTTTGAATATACTTTTTAGGAAGTTAATTGTACCTATAATCGTGTCTTTTCAGAGGTTGTGACGATTAGTAGTCAATGTTCTTCCGTTAAGATGAAACAACATATTTTTAATTTAGGTAAAATTTCCTTAGAGGATGATCATATTTGTCAGTTATTTGTTCTAGGACAAACTATGTAAAGATATCAGACATTATTTGTCTCGAAATCGTTCATTTAAGACGCATATAATTAGAGGAAACCTTTTGTATTCTAATATCTTGAAAATCTATTTTCTTGTTTTTAAGAGACAATATTTCCATTTCTTCCTAAATGTCTAGTTAGAAGGACTAGATGGAGACACTGGTCGTGTGATTATTAGATTAAAAGTGTCGAAAGAAGCAGTCACGGTACTTCAACATACTGTCCGTTTGGTTCCTATCAAAGAATATGCTGCGTACTCGAATTGTATAAGTAAGTTTACATTTTTTATCCGTCTACGTATTTCAACTATCATGTTTCATATCTTTTCTGACTGTATCATTTCAATAAAACCATTACTTGCATGTGACTTATTTATAAACCCTTATTTCTCGTGTAAATGTCTACCATCACCTATAACTTCTCACATAATTAAACTTATGAAGATTCTAAAAGTATCAACATTTTACAGTCTATTAAATTTTATGTGAAAATTTTAACACCACTGATTTATCCAGTAAGTTTAAAATTGGCGGAATATTTAGGAAATGTACTGTATTATCATCATATAAACAAATGCGTCACATTGAATAAATTAGGTTAAAGTGTTTACTTATTTAACTGCTTTGCATATAAATATTTGCTACTGTGATACTATCTAATTGTTTTCAACAAATTTTCCCTTATTTCTTGTGTATTGACAATTTCATATTCGGTTGCCCTCTGTTCAAAAACCAGTTCGCTATTGATTGAGTTTTAGCGCATTAGTTATAATACTTAACTTTCAGCCACTATTTTGTTGGTGTAAATCCCACTCTCAAACTTTTACTTAGTCGCTAAACCCTTAGTTAAGTGCATATATTTATATTCGGCCACCATTAAATTCGTGAATCTCACTACTGTTGAAATTCCAGGCATGCTGAAGTTCATTTCAAATGTATTTTTGAGTTAGAATGAATATTGAGTTAAAGTAGAGCTCTGTGTATAAATTATACGGGTTACAAAAAAGAAAGTAAAGCCATGATATATCAAGATTATCTTTATGACATATAGAATGATGTAGAAATAAAAATTAATGAACGAAGTGCTTAACTTATGGCAATTTGTTGTATTGATTGAATAAAAGTATATAAGATCTATTTTTATTGCTTCAATAAACTTTAAGATTTATATGAGATCATAAACCGATCAATTTTAGGCCACTATTGATAACCTGGAAGCACCAAACAGCCATTTTATTCTAGTGAGAAGCTGTGACCAGTGAAGTTCAGTGTCGGATGTGACGCAGTCACCTATCGAAGACAATGGAAGATGGTTGCTTAACACCGTGGACTGGTTGAAGGTAGACATTAACACCATTGAATATCGGTTCAGCGTTTGCGCTAGACCAAAGGCCCCATATCCCAGTACCACACGCGGAATCGTGGATGCGCACTTCTTAGGGGTCCCATACTAGGGAGAAATGGCCTTCCAGTACTTCCAGGTTTTTAATGGTGGTGCAACATTGATCGGTTCGTGATCTCAACCAAAACTCAACTATCTCCAAAACCCTATACTGATGGTCAAAGATTTGAAGTAAAAGGACATACCATCGATGTTATACAGTGAATTAATAGATTTATATGCACAATTATACTAGAATGCATCATAAATTTTGCTTTCTATTATTCAGTTTAAATTTTTACTTTCCAAAATTTTGACCTACTTTATCGAATATTGTTTTGCAAATATGTGAATAACTTAACCCCTCCTCTTATATGAAATAATACTCAACGTACACACTTTCCTGATAATATCAATTTTAGACCAAAATCAAGTCGATGAGTATAAAGCACGCGAAGCAGAACAGTTATTACTGAAATCCAATCATGATTCCGACTCTGACCCGCCGAGATCAAAATCGACACATAGTGACTCTATTCTTAAAACATCGAATATCTCTAAAGAGGATAAACCACTAAAGTAATATTCGCATTTTACATAATCACTAATTTTGTTAGTCTGTATATTTTTCGATGTCACATTATAATTATTTAAATTTTAACCACAGTCAGGGTTGCTGTTGGCGAGGAAAAACATTTGACCACACGAGGAACTAATTGGTCTGTTGGGAAACGTCGTGTGTAAAATAACCAAATAAGTTTATGTCTTTGAAATCGCTAACTGATCTTAGCTGGAAGTGCTAAAAGACCTTTTCGTCCTAGCATGGGACTCCTCAACAGTGATCATCCATTATTCCACTCGTGAGAATCGAACCCAGGACCGTAGGTCTCGCGCGCGGACGCGTAACCCATAGTTCATACTTGTTTAAAATTTCCGTTTTACTGTTGTATGGCGGCTTATGTACTATTCATTAATTTTTCATTTTAACTCTTTAACGAAATGCAGGTTCATTTGCTTGGTTTTGAACCACATTTTTCTCATGAGTAGGAGCTCCTGATACTGCTGTCCAGTTGAAGAATTCAGATTTTGACGGAATGAATTTGAAATTCGCTATCAGTGGTTCACATTTAACCGACAAACATTTGGCAAACAAAAATTTAAACATTTATATCATAGTTGTTCCCACTAATTTTAATTCTGAAAGTGAAGAGTAGTTTGGTTTATTATTTTGAGAGGAAGTCAAGCATGTGTTAGCTGTTATCGGAAAATATTTTTATATGCGACAATTTTACATATATAATTATATTACTTATGAGTAGCTATCATTCTATTGCTCAATTTTCTTGCCATCGTTTAATTCGTTGAGAAGACAGTAAATTGATCTGCTCCACTGCAATCAATTCTGAGCCATGTCGCCCAACGTCTCCAACCATTAATTACGACAATAGCGATGACCCCAACCTGAGATATTACATTTATCGATACGGCGCAATCCAAAAGTTAATGACTCCATAATCTTGATTAATTTTTAGTTAATTAGAGAACCACCTTCAGTTAGTCTGTCAGTAACAACGTAGAACTTCGTACGTACGTACATCAGTTCGAGTTGCCATACCACATTAGCACACAGATATAGTTGTCGACTCAAATCCCGTGGTCGTAGAGGTAGAAGAGTATAAGCAGTAATCGTAAAGATTAGGGTTTGAAAATGTTATTCAAGGAGTATAATCTAATGAAATAAATTTTGAAAGAGAAAAAAGAGAGATAAGAAGAATCCAGGAGATTAGAATTTGGGAGAATACAAAGAGTAGATGTACGTGCGCTATTTTAGACGATTTTGAATCACTTTAATACAATTATATCTATTCCAAAAATTCAAAAAGTATTTTCTGACCTCATTCCAGCAATCCTAAATCCTATCCGGTTACTTAAATATCAATATCTATATATTATTACTAATTTCATACATAATTGATGTAATTCATAGCATGATACGCAAATCTGTGTTTAGTTAGTGAGTTGTACATAATCTAAATGACGTTTTTTGTAATGTACAACTAGAAATCTCCATATCACTTAAGACAATTCTTTATTAGGAGGTACGTTTCTTATAGCAACCGTAAAGTGACTGTGGGAATAATAATATCAAAATCATATAGGAAGATGAAGTTATGTTGTGTATTGTGAAGTATTATAACTGTTAACTCATTAGTAATTAATCTTAATGTTTAACAATCATCGATACGATTATTTCGACTGCTTTTATTTTACATCTTATGAACTTCCTTTTACTGTGGTGACATGAGATTTAGAAACTTGGGCTGATGTACTTTTTACCAGGTGTTACATTGTTCTTAATTAACTGATTACTGTTGTTTAATCAGCTGGTTATTATCATTAGCTGTCAAAGAACTTGAACTCAAGTGCACGAACCTACTTAGATTTGGCGACTCAGTTACTTATTTATAATCATATCATTTAATGTTTTCTTAGATTGTCGAAAATATAGTTATTCTTCTTCTTTATCTATACAAATATATAATTTATACGGATGTTTTCTTTCCACTTCTGTAGATGTGAACCAAATAGACCATCTGGTAGTATATCTTGGTTAAGACCGAAATTAATTGTTCGATGCTTAGATCGAAATTATTGTGGTGGGAAATATAATAAAGAAAAAGTATTCTTTCAATATTCATGAAATTTAATTGTATTATCTTTTTTCTCACAACTAGTTAATTATTATTTCTATCGACGGTAGTCGATGCAGCTGTAAAACAGAATCTGGTCAACTAATCAAAGGTATTTTTTTAAACGAAGCATATTTTATTACTTTTCAATGTGATACTTTTTGTAGATCTTCCTATAAAGTATTTACAAACAATTATACCGCATGAAATGAATTCAGTTTTAATGATTGTAAACGGAGAAAGAAGTGGTCAGGTATGTAGTGTTCTTCATATCCCTTTTTATCACTTATCTTTCATAATTTAGCGTAGAAAATCAGTTCATTATGTAATCTTTATCAGTTATTGTTATCTGATTTTTGCTCTTGGTTAGACTAAATATACAAAGCTACCATAAATAATTGCTATAGGCTGTCTACCCAAGCACAATTTTCTAACCGGTAAGCTGAGATCTTGTGGCTGACTGGTTCTATCTTCACTTCAATTGAATATGATATATTTCAATGCTCATTCTTAACTGATAATTTTTATAATTTTCGTAACCGTGCATTATTCATCAGGTGCAATAGAAATGTTACAAATAGTCCGAAATAAATCCTAGTTTAATGTAACTTAGTACTTTTATGACAATTTCTTAATTCTTCGAGTACTTTGTATTAGAGTTTTATCTGCTAAATATTTTTTTAACTATCCATTTGTCACTAAGAAACTTACTTACGCCTGTTACCCCTGGTGGAGGAACATAGGTCGCCCACAAGCACTGTCCATACAACCCTGTCCTAGGCAATCCTTTCCAGCTGTTATATCCTATTCATGTCTGCTTCCAATTCCTGACGTAGTGTGTTCTTCGGCCGCCCTCTTTTCCGTTTTCCTTCAGGATTCCAAGTTAGCACTTGCCTCGTGATGCAGTTTGGTGATTTTCGTAATGTATGTCCTATCAACTTCCAATGTCTTCGATGATGGTTGTAATGGTTCTCCACGTTTCAGCTCCATACAGTAGGGCTATTTTGACGTTCGTATTGAAGATTGTGACTTTGACATTGGTTGACAGTTGTTTTGAGTTGCATATGTTGTTCAATTTTAGGAATGTGGCCCTTGCTTTGCCAATCATCGCCTTTACGTCTGCATCCGATCCTCCTTGCTCATCGATGATGCTTCCCAAGTACGTGAAAGATTTCACATCTTCCAGAGCTTCTCCATTAAGTGTGATTGTGTTGGTGTTCTCCGTGTTGTATTTGAGGATTTTGCTTTTCCCTTGTGTATGTTGAGGCCTACTGATTTAAAGGTTGCTGCTACACTAGTTGTCTTCATCTGCATTTGTTCGTGTGTATAGGATAAAAGGGTCAGGTCATCTGCGAAGTTCAAGTTGTATAGTTGCATTCAACCTGTCCACTATATTCCGTACTTCCAGTGGGAAGTGGAGGTCTTCATAATCCAGTAAACCACAAGAAGAAAGAGGAATGCGTCTGTCAGTTGTCCTACATGCACGACTTTGCATTGTAGTCCGTCTTATGAATTCCGGATGACGTTGACGATCTTCCCAGGTATACCATAGTGTCTAAAGTTTCCATAAGATCCTCCTATCCACACTGTCAAACGCCTCTTAGTCAGTAAAGTTACTGCATAGTGATGAGTTACACTCAACTGATTGTTCAACGATGATTCGTAGCGTCACGATTTTGTCTGTGCACGGCCGATCCTTACAGAATCCAACCTGTTAATCTGGAATTTGGACGTTTACTGAATCTTCCATCTGGTTCAGCAACACTGTTAAAAACTTTTCCTGGTACTGACAGTAGTGTGATGCCTCTATAGTTCTCACATTTGCTCAGATCTCCTTTCTTTGGTATATTGATGAGGTATCCTTCTTCCATTCTGTTGGCACTTGTTCTTCCTTCAAAATCTTCATGATTAGCATGTGGAGCGTTCTCGTAGTTATTTCTATATTTGACTTCTGTGTTTCAGCTGGTATATTGTCTGGTCCTCCTGCTTTTGCGCTTTTGATTTGTCTGATGGCCATCCTGATTTCTTCGGTCATTGGTGGATTGACATCTATAGGAAGGTCTGTGTGTGCTGCTTCGATGTAGCTTCGTGTATGTGTTTGTATGGGAATATTATGCCGCCTATAACCAGTTTGTTGAATGCACATAGGTTTTAAAATCTTCCAGTCCATGTCGTTCTATGATATCTTCATATCCGGTGTTGTCCATTCCGACTTTGACGTTTAGGTCTCCCATCAGGTTGGTGAGATATTTTCTTGGGCACTTTGCTATGATTGGTTGCAGCCTTTCCTAGAACTGATGTTTATTATCGTCGTCGCTGTCATTGGTGGGTGCATAACATTGGATAACGTTCCCCGTGATTCCCTCCTTTGTTTTGAAGGATGCTTTGATGATTCTGGATCCGTGAGTTTCCCATCCTATAAGTGCATTACGTGCTTCTTTGGACAACATCAGAGCAACTCCCTAAGTGTGTGGAGCATTCTCATCTTAATAACTAGAGTATAGCAGCACCTCTCCCGTATCCAGTGTTTGCTGTCCAGCTTGGGTCGAATGGGTTTCGCTGATTCCGAGTACTGCAAAGTTGTATCTCCTCATTTCCGTTGCTATTTGACTGGTCCTCCCAGTCTCCCACATTGTCCGGATGTCCCATGTACCCATAAAAGTTGTTGCTCTGGTTGTAAGAAGGGGCATTGGTCTCATGACTTCAAAAGAATCTCGGCTTTCACCATGAAGCGTCATAATTCTTCCTTCAACTGGGAGAGCAGAGTTTAAATGATTTAAACTTTTTATTCTGGTTATCGTTTTTTAGCAACGTTTTTTCTACGGGATGGGGTTGCTGACCCCATGCCCAACCCTCCTCTTTTGTGTATGATTGAGACCGGCAGTAGCTCTAGAAGAGCTACAGGCGGAGTTCGATAAAAAGCGGTAGTTTGGCGGTTAAAATGTTTGCTATTCAATCAGTAAGCAGTGCGCTCCAACCCCGCCCTTCTTACTTCCGTTTAGGCAACTAGATGGTGTCACTAAAATTCATGCCAATAATGTGCTATAAGACCTAGCACACTAAATTGTACTTCGTAGAGAAGTTGAATTATTATGACATGTCTATAATCTATAAGAAATATTTCATAGGAATTAGGTTTATTAGTTAGTATTATGTTTTGTCAAACATATATCTAAATCAATGTATATGTCTACACCTTATCTGTCCTTTTAGACTATACTTGTGTATTTCTTTCCAGAACAAGATTAGAAAATCATGGAAGACTTTAATTCAGTAAATTATTTGTTAACTTCAACGGACATCACACGATAATTTGGTTACGAAATTTTGTGATCTTCAGTCCTATTGTTACCAAAATTCGAATAAGTATGCTTACAGTTCAAGAATGTATTAGTGTCCATACTAACTCAGCTAGGGACTTGTAGGAAAGTGATCTTGGCCTAGGTAAATAAGTCACTTCCAATAAACACTGAGCACAATTTTGTTTTATCGCGTAACCCGTCTAACTTTGTTAAACACATCATAGATTATTACTCTACGCTATTTATTGCTTAAGTTTAATTGTAAATCTACCAATCTCCATATTGCGCATTTCTTGTTTTATACCATAAGGTTATATTCATTTAAATGATAAATATTCTAAAATTCCTCAATTTAATCATGGTCGTAAACATTGTTACAGTATTTCATTAAATTACTCAACAGTGTAATGATAACTATTGTTTTAAGTACACTTGTTAATCATCAGCATAAACTTTGCTACATCAATACCCTAAAACACCTTACATGTAAGAAATGATTATTTCCATAGTCATAAATATCACTTGACTTTAACTGTTTCTATTTGTTATAAGACCAACTAATATTACCGGATGACCCAAACTAAAACAAGTGGAGTGGAGTTCGAACTTACAACCTACTAATTAAAAACTAAGTGTTTCGCTTACTAATTCGCCATTGGATGTAAATAATAATGCCTAGGAGAATTGTTGTTTAGCGAAATATCTATAAAGTATCGATAACTGTCTAATCATTTTTTCCATTTCCTTTTTGAATAGCTTGCACGATTAATTAGACGTGATAGTCGTAACCAATTAGTGGATGTAAAAACTCGATCTGGAATCCCTTTGCAATATCATTTCGATTGTGTATGTGCCATACATGATCCATTCGGGAATTGATAGAAAACAACTTATGAAATTCTTGAATATTTGGAATTTTTGTAAATAGTATTTTTTTTACTTATTTACATAAAAAAACAAAAAGATTATCTGAAAAATTAGAAATGTCTATTCCTAATTGTCTTTCCTCATTTTACAGTTTAGTTTTTCTAAAGCTACTGTTGAATCAAACAAACTTAATTTTGAGATCATGTAATTTCGTTTAATTGACAAACTTGGGTAGCTTTTCAAATTTTCACCAATACAATTTCCTTTTTTAATGTCCCGACGCAACATTGATCGGTTCATGATCTCAATTAAAACTCAACAATCTCCACAACCCTATACTCGAAATCATGTACTCACTAATTACTAGCTTCGAGAGGTAATTCTCAGAGTTCTAATGAGAAGCCACCCGTGTCGGGGCAGTTACCTACCGAAGGGAATGAAAGATGGTTTTGCAATATTGTGGGTTGGTTGAAATTAGACTCCAGCAGTCCAGAGGTTAAGTGTTGACGCACGAGAACAAATATCCTGGTTTTGGATTCTGCGTGTGGGGTGATTGATGCACACTGCTCACCAGTTCCATACTAGGACGAAACGGTCGTCTAATGCTTCCAGGTTTTCATTGGTAGTTTAAAATTGATCGGTTCATGATCTCAATTAAAAGTAACCTTAGGAATTTAATATCGTCTATTAGCTAAAGCAAATCAATAAATTACAAAGTTTCTCAGATAGTGTGTCAGTGTAACATAGAAAATAACATGATTGGACATTTATGCAAATTAATAAACATTTAAATAATATTACGTAGTGAAATTCTCCCTGCCCTCCAAAAGGAAAGTAAATGGATTTAAATTATAAACCTATAAATTTAAGAAGCTATTGTTGATAAGACGATGTAACTATTTGACCAATAAAAACTAGATGATCTGTGATCGTTAAATTTATGCAATCATTATGAATTCTCCTCTAAGTCTACATTACTTGAGATTTATGCTAATTTCAGGTAATGAACATCCCTTGTATGCAGAATATATTTCAAATATACGACTTATTGTATATTGATGACTTCACTGTGCAGTCTAGTGTATCTGCATTTTACTTCGAAATTTCGGATAGTTCCGCATTATGCAAGCGATGATATACAGAGACATAGATTAACCAAACACACGAAGACTTATAATCGAACAATTTAAGTAAGTATTTTATCAGGTTGTCTATTGATTCCAATTAATAAACCCAAATCTACTAAGCAGAAGATAGAGTGGATATGTGTTCTAAAAATCCCCGTTGAGATTTTATTAAATTAATTACAATGAGTTATTTGAATCCATCCAACTACACAGAACGACAGAATTTTTCTGTGACCTTAGTTCGTAAACTTGTGTTTTCCTAGCTACCGTTTATTTCAGTCACTCAAGTGACTAGATTTATGAGGCTTTGATGTCTTCAATTTCATGACTATTTCTACAGTCAGTTTCTTATAGCCTATAAAAAGACTTATCTTCATTCACTAAAGTGTCAAGATAATTTCAGATATCAACTATTTACACAACCTGGAACATCTAGTAGATCATTCTCCTACTACTGAGTGGTCTTGTTGTCCGTCTCACACATCAATGCACTAATTTATTACATAGATTAAATCAATAAGACAAAAGTAAAATGTGAAAAGCAAGAAGCTCGATAAAAAAACACACTTTATGACTAGATATATTAAAAACTAATATATCTACAGAAACATGCCCATTGTAAGTGATTAACAATGTATAAATGTTAACTGGTAAATTATGCCATATACTAATTGTAGTTAGTATTAATCGAATTAAGGGGGGTATTCCCTTTTCAAAAAATGTTTTCGTTCTGGACAATATGATGCTTAGTACGATAATAAAAGCATCGTAATTAAATCATCTAACTTGAAGAACAGTACACTACCAAAAGTAGTAAGTAGCATTGTAGAATGTCTCAATCTTGTATGGCATACACCCTAGTAGAAACGTTTGATTTTATAAGATAATGATCAAACTCACTGTTTATTTTGACTGGAAATTAATAAATCTTAAGATCACTCTCCTTCATTTTGTTGGTGAATAAATAAAATTAATTGCAAAGAACCCCGAAAGGAATCCATTTTCAGGTATGCATTTCTCTTCTAACCAATATGAAGTGATGTTTCAGGTATGGTATGCATCGACTGATAGTATCAAATTAGAAAGTTCATTCCCTGAAAGATTTTGGACACTTCATTTATTCCAGAGAGTTACATCATTCTTAGACGCCCGGTGAGCAACACAACTTCGTAATAAATATAGGGAGCTTGACACTATTTAAACCACCTAACTTGTGATACAACTGATATTAAGTTCACTAATCGTCCACGCATTTATGAATGAACTCATTGTAATCTGATTCCAAAAGACACAAGGACTCTGATAATTGGGGGCATAAATACGACGTGTAAAATACATAACTATTACAAGTACACAAAACTGTAAATACTTAGTAGTTATCTACTCATACACACACGATAAGCCGTTATTTTCATTGGCTTCAGGTAATGATATCAAGCAATAAATAATCAGCTGATCATTGTATATAGCATTAAATTACACTGATTTTCAAACAAATATGCTTTCCGAGTCTCCTTGTAGTTTCCTAATGAAATTCTATTTCGTCTGCTTTGCCTTCTATACCATGAATATGTGGGGTGTGTTGGAAATTTCAATGAATCACTATAAACTAGCCGTTTTCGCTCTGGAAAGTATCTACCGATGACTGTCTTATTGTCAACACACACGTCACTTATGTTGCTTTTTAAATACGACAAATACAAAAGCGCTAGATTTATAACTTAACAAAAGCGACGCTATGACTACATGATATAACTGGACGAAGTGATACGGCTCGATCCATGGAATACGGTAGATCTCCAGATGAAAAATTTCATTCACCAACAACAGATTTAAAAGTGAACAAGACTAGATCGAAACTAGCCCCATTATTGACAGTTACAACACGTGATTATATCACTGTTTCTTCCTGCTACGATATCGAATCACCATGGAGACGTGTGAACAGTGAATTACAAATACCCTAGTTCAACAATTAGAACCCAGATATTATCGTACAGAACCTTGGTCCTGATTACAATCCCGAAATTCCAGTATTAAAAAAATCAAGAAAATGCACCACATCGAACTATTATAATTAACTATAAAACACTTACAAAATTATTCTACAAATACTTAATATCAGAATGGAGATTTGTAGAGACTGTAGTAATTTTAATAGTTGAATTCACGAGTTGATTAAAGCCAGACCATCATGGCAAACCTGATAGCACTGGACGGCCGTTTCGTCCTCGTATGGGACTCTTAAGCGGTGCACAACCAAGACCCTGCGCGCAAACGCTTACACTCTAGACCACATGAGGGATCGTGGATGAGCACTGCTGAGAAATCCCATACTAGGACCAAACAGCCTTCCACTACTTCCAGGTTTTCAACGGTGGTCTAGCTTAGATCGACTCATGAGTTCAGCTATTAAAATACTTAATAAACAACTACGGTCAGCTAAAACTTTGACTTCTCGATAATAAACCAGTAGGCACGTTCGGGATTATGAAATATCAGTGAATGACGAATAGGAATAACAGTTTAGAACTTGTCAAAATAGTTAAGGATTATAAGCAAAGATAGATAGTGACTAGCAGTGAAATCCAGGACTCGTGTTTCGTCCCATCTGGGACTCGTCAGCTGGTTGAACCTGCATCTCAGAGTTGATGTGCACTCTGGGACTCGGACTCAGTATCGTTCGCTTTAAATGCCATCGCGTTACCTACTTTGGACGAAACTCGCGTCCTAAGTTCTACTGCTAGCCACCATCCATCTTTGCTTATAATGCTTGTTAATTAAGGCAATACGCACAATATACACATATGCCAATAAGAAATTAATCAATTGTTGTCTTTAACATCAATGGGAAGATTCATGTAAACAATATCAAATGCATAGGGAATTACTTATCAAATGTTCCTGATATTAATATCCTAGAAATGGTTTCATTTTCTAACAAACCTATCTAATATTTACCATCCCTCATTTAAGAACGAAAATACAGTTTTCGTTTATTTTATTTTTCTTCGAAACTTTCAACTTTACCTGTCACCTGTAAAGTATGATAAATGCATTTTGTTTCATAAGTTTCCTAATTTAATTCTAATCAAGACAAGGACTTCTAATAAAAAGAGTTATCGGTGAGACTATAATTTATGAACGACCTTTGAGAATTGACTTTGAGAGTGTCAACCTAATTACTAGGGTTAAATGAGGGTTATAAAAAATGTTTGAAGAATGAGGATTATGATTTACAGTTGACGGTTAAGGTTAGAGATTAGATTTAGGGTTTTCATCACGAACTGACATCAGCTGTAATACCGAGACTTTATTTAGCCAAATGGGTGAATGAATTTCGCACCAAAATCTAAAACCTGTTATCATAAATCTGATTGATTCGTCCATAAATTATAGTCTCGCCGAATGATCGTTTATGTATAAACAAATAGAACAAACTATAAACAAATAGTAATAAGTAAATGCAACTTATTAGCTTTCATTAAATGATCTTTTTAATAATTCAAAATAATTGAACATAATCATAACTGATTAATTATTTTAATATAGAAATGAATCATCTTTGAAAAATCTTCAATATTTGAAATTAACATAATGATCCTTATTATATATGGATTTATATAACCTATCCATTCATACCAGTTTAAAAATCATTCCCAATCAAAAGTATAAAATGATCTTATAATTGACCTCTTATAATTAAGTATTTTTTAATCAAATCATTATTTATTTTCAATGGTTAAAATCATGAGTCAGTTGAAGCTAGACTACCATGGAAAACCTGGAAGCAGTGCGCACTCACAACCTCGCCCTCTGCGAGATTCGAACCCATGACTTACTGGTTTTGCGCGCGAGCACTTAACTGCTAAACCACTGAGTTAGACATTAACACCGTTGGATGCCGGCTCGGTAGTTAAGCTCTTGCGCGCGAGATCGATAGGTCGTGGGTTCGAATCTCACAGGGGGGCAAGATCGTGGGTGTGGACTCCTGAGGAGTCTTCCAGGTTTTCCATGGTGGTCTAGCTTCAACTGACTCATGATTTTAACCATTGAAATTACTATAATATTCACAAAACCTATCTGACATTATTTATTTTACTAAATACATATTTAACCTTGTAATATGTCTTAACTAATCGACCAACCAAATTACAGAATTCATTGATTTAGTCAAGGTCAAAATAAATACCCTTAAAAATTCAGTAAAATAAACAGTAATTATTTGTTAAATCAATTTTCTATAGGATATCCTAAATTTTACTGTTTTAAAAAGGAAATTTGAAATGATAGATTTTAATGATTTAAAATTATTAAATAAGAAATTAAAATGTGAATTAGTTAACAAAAAGAAAAAGAAAATCCATCAATCAAAAGTAAGTTGATAATAATAAATTGTATCAAATCTATCAATTAATAATTAGCTTAATCTTAAAAAGGAATTAATTATTCATACTTTATCCTTTCTGTGATAATTAGTTATTTTTCAAATGATCATCTTTATGATTATTATGATGGTAATATGAAAGACGTCCAAGATAAAGTTGGATAGAGAATCCTGATGGGCGTCTTATGCTCCTCCACGAGATGTAACAGGAATAAGTAAATAATTCTGAAAGCCAATAAACTTGAATATGCGTGCTCCAACAAGTCTTTTTTCAGATCTAGTCATTTCTCACTTATATTACAAAACTAGTCTGTCTTTGTGTATTGGATTTTTAAAAAAATTTTAAGAAATCGCAATCATTATCTCGTAAAGAATCACTTGAATTAGTAAAGAATATGAAAAATTGTATCATATACACTAATTGTTGGTACAACCTTCGGACTGTAACAATGAAACCAATACATAATTTATCATATTCGATACAAAGATTTATTGTGAAGTATTTCTATTGAGATAATGAACTGACTGATGTTAGACCACCAATGAAAATCTGGAAACACTGGATGGCCGTTTCGTCCTATTGTGGGACTCCTCGGAGGTGCGCATCCACAATCCCGCCAGCGGGATTCAAACCTAGGGTCTTCAGTCTCTCGCGTGAACGCTTGACCTCCCGATCACTGACTCGGCATCCAACGGTGTTAATGTCTAACCTCAACCAGCCCTGAGTTAGAATCCCGTGAGCGGTGTTGTGGATGCGCACTGCTGAGGAGTCTCGCAATAGAAAGAAACGGCCGTCCAGTGTTCCATGTTTCCATTGGTAGTTTAATATTGATCGGTTCATTATCTCAATCAATATCCTCAACCCTATACTGATGAAGCATTTCTATTTGATTGACCTTACAACAATGAATTTCAATATGTATTTATTAATTTTCATAATAATGTATTACTAGAGAAATAGGATTTCTGTTCTAAATAAAACATGTGTATAAAAGTTTACAAAGTTTCAAGCATTATTTTCTAATTCACTTAGATCAATAAATATGACGAAATTTCTATAATCTGTTTTGTGAATATAATATAGTCATAACCTTCATTTATTTGCACTCTGCTCCATAGAATCTAATTGAAATCATTAGTTAAGCAATTTTAGAGACTTTCAGTTATTTTTGAACTACCACTTGTCTAAAACGACAAGAATAATGAGATTGAGTTAGATAGTATGCAATTTTTAGAGAAAAATATCCATGATACTACCTCATGTTATTGTTTACAGAACTTGAAAAATAAAACTAATATACCGATAGTATTAGGTGAGTTTTTTCCCATTACGAATTAAATCTAATATGTATTGTACATTAGTTTCTGATTCTCAGTATGCCAAAATACTATTTGTTAATCTAATTATTGTCCCTTTACAGTTAGCATTTACAGATGTAATATTTTTGCTACTTAATAGAGAATCAATAAAAGAATACGTTCCCACTGATAAGTTTTACCAGTTGTACTATCTATTATTTAGAGATTTCATTCAATCTTTTAACTATCATTTTGTTGTGCTAACGATAAGTGATTCGAACAAAAATAATTAATTTTATCGATGTGTATTTACCACAGTTGCATAGTATGTATTCTTTATAACATTCAGTAGGATCGATAGACATCATAATAGCTAACTAATAGTGAATTAATATTGGTAACAGACTTCCGTTAAACAACCGTACAGAAAATACCTTTTTTTTTCAGATTATCGTTTCTAGAGTGGTCAACCGCCAATATTCATAAATTTACGATAAAGAAACAAAAAATTCTTTGTTAGATTGATATTTCTGATGTTTAATGGATATTCTAACTTACCCATAAATTCGAATATTTTCTATTTGATGAGAGTGGGTCATTTTATCAAGGCGGAGAGATAGCTTATAGCTTAAACTGTTTAACTTTCAGCTTAATGTTAATCATGCACCAAGTACAGTTTGATATATTCAGCATTCACTAATACTGTTATACTTCTACTACTATGAGTTTCGCTCTGACGATTTCATGTTGTTATGCTAATCAAAGTATGGTAACTTGAACAGATGTACACGTGTGCCAGGTTCTTTGTTGTGTTTGACTGACGAACTGACTGGATGGTTCGGCATTCAGTAGCATAGTTTGTAAGGACTAATGATACTATATGGCCGTCCGAATCAATATAAGTGAGGCGTATTTGGAACATGTGATCTACTGATACAAGTTCAAATGATTTAACAATTAATCCATCCCTTAAATTTCAACCATTGAATTACAAGTTCACACCCTATCCGCCAATTTTTATTTGAATTTTATCATTAGTCTATGCATGTACCACCCTGTACTTTTATAACTGAGTTGCGTTAGAGAACATCAAATATATAGACTTGCATAAACACTTAAATAATTTAATTTTACTCCGAGTTATGGTTTTTGAACTCTTAATCATATAGAATTATATTATTTACGGTGAAATGTTACAAATTTCCTTTAAAGTACTTTATGACTGGTAAAAATCAACCTTTTTTGACATATTTCCACGTTTTACGGATTATCATTAAATATGATTAATGTTATATGACATGAATACAAATAGCTTTCACTTTTATATAGCAAAGCATAGGTGAACATAGTGATTTGTTTGGTTAAAATGTTCCATAAAACGGAATCGGTCTTGTCTGTCATTGTGGTCATTCGGAAACAAGGAGTATCAAGAATTAGTTTTCATAATGTATTTACTTCATTATAAAGGCTACTTTTAATCATCCTGACATTTAAATCTAATAATGTATAACTTTCAGTCCTAAATGAATTCTGTTGGTCAAGTTACTATGTATCAACACGATTCAGGGTTGCCTATTGACTATATCCAACCATATAGAATTAAAGAAAGGGGAGAACAGTATCAAGTCACTAAGATTAGACTGAGTTTACGAATTTAAAAATGCCTTTATTATTATTATTATATCAGTAGTCAGTAAGACTTTCTAACCAACTAATTCAGTTAATTACGCTACAATTACTAAATAAAGAATAACGTTTTATTAAGGTATTCCCTAAACTATTAGAAAGACAATTTTTTTTAAATGTATTGGTCAATATAATTACTTTTATACAAATAAATTATTCCGTTTTTTTTTAAGATCAACTAGCTTATTTAGTGTTAATTTATCATAAGGGTAATCAATTATTTATCTTTGCCTACTTTTAATTTTTTAATTGTACGAATCGATATGGATCCATAATCATTCCTTTTTGCCACGATGCACGTTATGATTGTAGAAAAAGAATTTGTCAGTACTTTGCTTCCACATCTATCTTTCAAAGTATTGCTGCCATAAAATATAGTTCCATATACTTGACTTTAAGCCAAACTATGTTTTATGAGAACTAGAGTTTCTCAGAGGCTGCCGAAGTGGAGTATGAAATTATAGCCCAGTATTTAAATGATCAGTGACTTCCTTCTGAAACGGATCCTTGCATATTTTTTTTTATCTATTATCATATTAGATATTAAGGTAAATGTAAACTTGTAATTATTATGTATAGTTATATCAATATAGTAAAGGGCAGTGATGAAGATCTTAGTCAACTTAGTTAATATACCTAAACAGTGAGAACATTAGAGACCAGTATAAATATCTCATCATTATTTGTAACTGATGATTAGTACACAGACTGACAGTGCCAACTTATAATATGTTTTATTTAATTTTATCAACCCTGTGAAACAACAACACTTACTATTTAAGGTTGGTAACAATATATATTAGCGTAATGAATGAAGACTCGGGTACGGTAAACTAATCTTGTGTAATTAGCATAATCACACACCGCGTTTGTAAGACAAAACATTGAATAAACCGTTTGCACATCTTCGGTGAATTGCCTCTTTTGTTCCTGTTACTACTCAGACTGCTTCATTTTTCTTTCCCTTCTTCTCATGTTCCCTGTCTGTCAGTAAGAATCCTACTTCCAATTCTTGATGCATTCTACTTATATCTGTCTGTAGTAATATTAATAACATAAGAATCAGTCAATATATTTAAAACAAAATCTAATCGGCAATCAGAGTTATAACAACATTTGTAAATGTGATACTTTTCAAAAACAACATTTATTAAGCTCATGAACTATAGGCTCTAGCTTTTAATAATGTGTGGTAGGATTAGAAAACCTGAGATTCTTTAGAGGAGTAAAATGATACTGTATTTTTTGTAAATTGGTCAATAATATTTTTACTGTAACAGTTGCATGGTATCGAGAATTGGAAAGGTTGACCAACTAAATTCTCATTCTTTGTGGTACCATACTCTCTTTAGGGCCAATTAATCACAGGTTCGATCAGATGTGACTTCATCGGTGTGCAAATTCAAAGAGTCTTAAATCAAGATAGTCTAGTTACCCAGTCCTCCATGGATTTCACTGATCCTCTGGTTGAAAATAAACATCAAAAATGAATTGATTCATTTTCTTAATACTACAAACAAATGGAGGTAACTGTTATTTAAACCTATTCGTGATAGCTATCAGGTCTCTCAGCAGAATGGTTGGATCTTTAGATACAATATAACTTTCAGCTTATATATATAAGGTTAGAATTTTCGAGTTATTTATATTAAGAACCCTAAATGATTACCTTCTGTTGGCATATATACATCCTAAATAGATTATCTCGATAATTTCTTTGTAATTAACTGATCATTGGACAGTATCCAGTGTCATGTTTGTCTTGTCATTTAGCGCTGATCGAACTATGCCAATTAATTTACAACGGGTTAGCAGTCTACACGGCTCAATATTACATGTATTATATTTAGATGTTAGGCGGATGGTGATAGTCAGCAATATCGTAAGACTGAACTGCTTTAACGAACAAATGTAACTGAATTACTGAGTTCTATGATTGTTCCTTCCCAACAGCACATAAATCATATTACTGTCAAATAGTTACCATGTCAAACTATTGGTAAAGAACACAGGAGTAGTTATTTCATGGTTTAATTACAGAGAAAAGATGTATTTTTTCACCAACTACTCACCAGTAGTAATACACTTCTGAACTCTGTTTTATATCGCTTAGCTGAGGTGAAAGCTTCCATTTTATTATGAATTATTTTATAAAATTCATATTTGGATGAGATGTATGAACTAAATAATATTATCCAAATACATGCTAGTGTTATAAAATATTCTAACAGTTCGAATCAGTTATCACCTGACTAGATGTAGTAAATATACTTTAGTGGTAAACTGTTCAGTGCTTACAGATTCTCAATAGTCATCCAACCCAGATTGGTTCATAATCTCAACAGAGAAAACTGATCAACCTAATCAAATGGGAAACTTCATTAATTTCACACTACCTATTATACAAAAGTATTATAGATATATAAAAATTCGCTGATGACAAACAATATTTAGCTCTTAAATTTATTAATCAGATAATGAAGACGGTTACAATGTTTTTCACGCATAGAAAACCATAATATATTATTACACTATGTACATTCGGGAAGTGATCTATAATTGAAGAACCATTCAATCTTAGAAAAAATCATCTTTATCTCCAACATTTAACAATATTGGTATTTATATTGATTTGCTAATATGAATTAAAATGACTTGTTAGTCTGGATTCAATTGAGTGGCACCAACTAGCACCACTCGAGAATCATAAGTTTCTTCCGTTTATCCTCAAACTACCTGAAATCATATTCAACATACGCGTTTAATTATCCTTTCATATCAAAATGTTATATTTTAAAAAGGATATTTTTTACTAATATCAGTTTACAGTAAGATGATATACATCACTAGAAAATATCTCATTTCAGACAGATAGTGGATGGGGTTGGATTATAGTGATATCGTCATTCATCATTCAGTTAATAATTGATGGAACATTTGGTGGATTTGGAGTTTTATACGTATCCTTACGAAATGACCAAGCATTCATCAATGAAAATTACTCACAAACAATATTATCGATGCCAGGAACTATTCAACCTGGATTTTTTCTCTGCACTGGTAGGCTCTATTCATATTGCATATCGTTTACTATTAAATGGCATTTCATAGGAAAACTTTTTCTTTGCTATTTTTTTGTAGTGTAGTGTAGACCTGTTCCCCTTTTACTGAAGAGATGTTAAACAGAGATAGTAGCCAGATGGAAAAATAGTTAATAACAGACAACGGTTAGTAAAGTTTATTTTCACCAATGGATTATACATTCATATCCCTTTTTAAGTTATCATAGTATGAACAAACATTTTCCTCTTCATGATCATAGTATTACAGTGCCTTGCTCAAATCTAATCTCTTTTGTCCAGCTTATGTTCAATGGGTTTCACTTATTCCACAGCTATTTGATTAGTTCTTATGGTTCCTACATTGTCTGGACATTTCAAGTATCTACATTAATTGTCGCTCTGGTTGTTAGAAGGAATATCGGTTTCTTGGTTTCCAAAGAATCTCGACTTTCACTGTGAGGGGTCTCAATCCTTTTAAATGAAGATCCTTCAACTCCCAGGACATAGTTTAAACGGTTACAATGACTTTTTCTGGTTGGCGTTTTTTTTAGCCAGGTTGTTTACTCCTTGGACTAATTCTGTTGAACCATGACGACATGGTAAAATTACAGTACCAATCCACGCCATTTCATTCAATATTATTTTTGTACTCATCAATGAATCTAAATTCCAAGTATTTGTTCTATTAGTATTTCATTAGCACATTTTCTTATTTTGTTAGGTGCCTTTGTCAGTCCACTTATCCAAATGTTTGGATTTCGTATCAGTGGTTGTTTTGGAGCTTTATTACTTGGTCTTGGAATGTCAATAGCAAGTTATCTAACTAATATGCATGCTATAACAATATTTTATGGAATGATATCAGGTAAAAATAATATTACGTCTTTTTTTCTATCTAAATTATTTAAATTTACAACGAAACTCAAATGCCACAATTATTTTTACTTCTCTAGTCATACTCGTTTTCTAAGACTATATGTTGCTTTATTAAGTGGAATATCTATAAAATATCACTTATATGCCTTATGTAAGGACGGCTCACGGGTACTGAAGTTATACGCGGTATATTAAGAATAGAAGCTCTAGATAAAACATTTTATTCAACCAGTTTTGATGATTATTATTATCACTGTTTAAAGTTTCTGTAAGGTGTGATCGATAAACGAACTAACCAATGATAAAGTGAAACGCCCACCACCACATTAACTTTCTTTGACTTTTGTATGACTATGTCTTGTTTATTCACCAATCCCAATTTATGTTCATTATAAAACAATATTTGCCTTGTTGACTCAATTTTCTTATCCTCTAGTTACTGTTCGGTATGTTATTTATGTCTCTGTTTTTCGCTGTGTTAATAGACTGTACTGTTTGTTTGTACACTAACGGTGTTAATTTATGTTTTAGAAACAGATAAAGTTTATCAAGCCAAATAGCTTACTTGTTTTGACTTTGGCTAAAGCAAGACTCTGTGTTCGACGGTCTAGAGAATAGCTTAGAGTTACACCTGTAGGGAATTGCTTCCTACAGTTTCCTTAGGATCAATCAAATTCTTAAATAATTTTTTATCGTAATATATTCACAGAAATGAAATTATGTACTTGCTTTTCAGTAATGATTTCGTTGAAATTTAAGTGATAACTTCTCGATAGGTTTCTATTATGAATTAATATTATCTAGTGAGTTACTGAAAATTAGGAAGCTATATACGGTTATCCAGTTCAACATTTGGAATTTCTCAAAAGTTCATACATATGATGTTCCATAGGATCGAACCCATAATGTTTAGAAACAGTAACATCTATAATATTATCTGTTATACTTGTAACCGCCAATTAGGGAGTAGTGAATTATCTATCGGACAAAGGATGCATAAAACACGTACGAGCAGTCTAGAGTCCTTATTGGTCCTGCTTTCCGCCTAGCCCAGCCAGTTAAGTCCAAAACACCAATCTCAGCCTCTGCAATATGAATCATTTATTTCAAACATACTCGGTTTATATACCAACCAGACAGACCACATCGTACCATAAAATTGAAAACAACATTTGTACAAGATTTAACCAAATGTGGCTGTGAATGTGGGAGGTAGTAATCAATAGACAGGGCATAACTCAAGAATGGTAAATTGTATAATAATAGTTCAAAGATCAAAATAAGGCTCATAAATAAAGGGACATGAATATGAATGGCTTAGTTATTTAACAATTATACAATAAAAATATACGTATAGTATTGGTCCATAAATGAATCCCGAAGTTGCCATTCATTATGCTTATCGGGGCATAGCATTATCAGATCACTATGTTTGAATATAACTTCAATTAATTTGTGTTGTATTGTGACCATCAGTAAAAATAGCAATACTGGGATAATTGTTTGTCTTGTATTTATTTATTTTATAAATATCGCAAAAAATATATGAATGAAAACATTTCAACAGTGATAAGCTGTAACTCATCTTCCTTATGGCCAATTTTTATTCACATGACAATTTTCAATCGTAAAAATATATTTGATGCATGAATTCCAATGTAACAATCTGTCATCCTTTTAAAATGAATGATAAAAAGGAATATATAATAACCACAGTAGTGGTTCTGTTTGTATTTTGTGGTACCTAGTTTAGTGATGAATTGTAAGCTTTCCAAAAAAAGCTATGAGTATACTTACATATCAAAAGATAACTAATCAATTCATACAAATCTAAAATAAGAAAATTCACTTTAATATTTTAATTGTTTGAGTAAAAGATAACCCAAAAGTTTTAACAGGCCACTAATTGATGATCAATTTTGATGAAATTTAAGTTTTTTAAAAATAGGCTTTCCATTTAATACTCGACTTGTATACTTTTCGAATAGTTTTACATCTTGACAAAACAGATAAATTGTGCCTACCAATGGAATCCAGAATGCACGTTTCATCCCATTTGGAAATCATCGGTTAGATGTATCCGTGTACCAATATTTATTTTTATACAGTGACTAGAAGTCAGTACTTTTCCCTCCAAACATCCAGTCCATTATCCGCTGAGTTACTGAGTTTAGATAGTCACTAGCTTGTGCAGTGTGTATGATGTTTATTCTATGTCATTATTAGTTGTACTTTACTACTGGAGAAACTATTGGTTTATCTTAAGTGCTAAGTAAATTCCTAATAATTAGTCTTTTATCATGGTGATACTAATTTTTTAGGTTCAGCTTTTGGCATTCTAATGGTATGCGCTATAGTCTCAGTCAATTATTATTTTGATCGTTATCGTGGCTTAGCATCAGGCTTGGCAATGTCTGGTGCAGGTGTTGGTACATTATTAGTACCAGTTTTCTACAATTGGATTATACCGATTAAAGGCTGGCGTTCTAGTTTATTATTCTATTCATTGGGTGCAAGCTTATTAACAGCACTGGCTTCATTGACACTTAAGCCATTTATAACAAGTGATAAACCCGAATTAACTGAACAATCCATTGTTATAGAAAATCTGAAACAGCTTACATCTGATCAAATGTTAGTTATGAAAACTATTCCGAAAATTACTTACGTAGATGATGATGTAACTAACTTGCCTGAAAAATGTCATAATAGAACTGTCGATGTAAGTTTAGATAAATTATTTTTAACTATCTGCTTTTTGAATAACCCTTTTCTTACGTTGTGTTATATAAAATTTGAAAAATGGTAAATTTGAAATTCAGATTTCCCTCAAATTTGAATTTTTTGGTTGACATTCTTTTCATCGGGGTTTTCTTCTACAGAATGGGGTAGCTACCCCATGCTCAACTTTACTTATTTATCCCGGCTCGAGACCGAAATGGCTCTTTTACAAATAACATTATTGTGTAGTGTATCAATTAACATATAACGTAACTATGGTAAATGAGCAGATTATACGAAATATGACTGTCTCCGACATAAATTTCATGATACAGTTAACTGTGTTTTGCTCATGTCGTGTGGCAACTTTGGTCGATGCATAATACTCCTATCCGTTACATTATTTATGACAGACTGGTTGACTGTAACACGAATTTTGCAAGATGAATACTAAAATTATAGGGATAGTAGTAGTATTTGTTATAATAATAAAAAATAAAAATAGCGAATATAAATTGAGGAGAAATAAGATTCCGAGAACAAAATGAATAAAACAATATTAAAACTTGAGTTTTAGGAGTAAATAAAAAATAGATGCATATGCTCCACTGCAACTGATGTTGAGCGATATCCTAAAATGTTTCCTACTGCTGTCATATTTATTGGGTCGACCCCATTCAAATAGTCCTCACCTAACAGCACAGCTTGGATCATTAGTTAATGATTTAATGAGCTGATGCTTTTTCTCAGCTTGTATCTTCCTAGCTTTCTTCCAACCAATGTCTACGCCATCCATGATTGCATATTAATTTAGGCAATGGCTGGGTATATACAACACACATTACAGTTACCTCAGTCGATGAACTTTCATAGTCTCATGATATACCATTCAAAATTGTATTTTAGCTAGTGAGAGCATTTATTTTGTTTCTAATGAGTTTTACGAAGACAAATTCATCTATATAATTGACCAGGTATAACAAATGATTGACACATAGGCCGTGGACATGAACATTCTTAGACCTATCTAGTGTAGATTGGATTATTTAACTCATCAACCAACTCCTAAAACACAAACTGATTCATTTCATTTCTAATATTTTACAGTTATGAGCTAAAAATAATGCGACTATAATTTAAAAATACGATTTTTTGAAATAAAAAACAAACTTTTCATCATAATCAGAATATATAATATATACCTAAAGATTAGAATCAACTTGACATATTCAGTATTGTTTTATATTTCAATGTAGTTTTTCAATGTTTAAAATACTCTAGACAAGTTCATCTTGAAAAAAAACACATTAAGTATTATTATTGTTAAGTAAGATTACCGCCTTTGAAAACGTTAGGTATTTCGATGAATAACTCGAATATAGTTTTAAAATCATTGAATAATTCTGACATGTATAATATTAATTTAAAATCTTATATTAATAAAAGTCATTTAGAATTGTTCAATGTTCATAAGGTGAATCTAATAAAAATAATAAATATTTAATGTAATAGTAAGCAAATATTTTATTATTTTAGAATATTTATTAGTTTCAGAATCTCAATAGTTGAAATCATGAGTGAATCGAAGCTAGACTACCATGGAAAACCTGAAAGCACTAGACGTCCGTTTCGTCCTAGTATGGGACTCCTCGGCAGTGCGCATCAAGTGACTCATGATTTCAACTATTAAAATTACTAAGATCTCCACAAAACCCCTTCTAGTTATGGAATCATTAGATATTTTTTATTTTTTGATTGAGATCACGAACCGATTGATGTTGGACCATAATTGAAAACCTGGAAGCACTGGACGGCCGTTTCGTCCTATTGTGGGACTCCTCATCAATGCGCATCCACGATCCCGCTCGCTGGATTTGAACCCATGGCCTTCAGTCTCGCACGCGAACGCTTAACCTATTGGACCACTGAGCCGGCATCCAATGGTGTTAATGTCTAACCTCAACCAATCCACGAAGTTGCACGACCATCTTCCATTGTACTGAGGTAGACATCTGTTTCCACCCGACACGGATTAGCTCCACTGGTCACGGTTTCTCACCAGAACCCTGAGAATTTTCTCACGAAGCTAGTCACTAGTGAGCATATGGTAATTATCTGTTTAGGGGTTATGGAGATTGTTAAGTTTTTGAATGAGATCCAGGTTTTCAATTGTGGTCTAACATCAATCGGTTCATGATCTCAATCGAAAATTTAACAATCTCCACAACTCCTAAACTGATAGATATTTTTTAGTTATGGGAGTGTTAAACTTTGAAACCGTGGTAAAATAAGGAATTAGACATATCTCTTTTGTACATAGTGCTTAAGTTTGAATTGATGTGTTGCTATGATTTAAACTGTGGACAAATTTCTGATCCAAACCTTCTGTGAGTTTGTTTATTTTTTGACTTTTTAAATAAACATGAGCTATGATTCTTGTGACAAAAGTGACTAGCGTTAACCACGTGCCCAGTGATTGGGCTGTTAGTCAACTTATAATTCCCTGTAGACAGTCATGTATAGTAATGATGAAATAGGCATTTCAGACGTTCATGCTTTGTGTAGTTAATATTACGTCCTCTACAAGGGAATATAAATTGTTAAATCTACAATGAAATGGCCCAAAGCGGTAATTTACCACTTGTACTTCAATGAATGTGTACCTACTATGAAAAACGATTTGGAACACTGCTCAACAGACATTTCTCAGAAATCTTGATAGTCCGTTTTTTAAGATTTATGCTTCCATGTATCCTTTAAATCCAGTGTTCATGAGTAAAGCTTTCCTTGGTACTTTGAGGATACTTTAAGCTTGACATTCGGGTTTCAGGTTAGTATCAATGAACCTGATGGAGAAATTTATTGTGTTAATCTCTTTCATAATTTCTTAGTTCATATTTCCTTTGATCGTATCATGCAACTTACATTCAATACATCAAGACCTTCAATACTCTTTAATAACTTTATTAAACGCCATAACACCTCTATTTTTTATGTCAGATTATTACAAGTAAAATTAAGTATAAATACAATTTTACAGTTTTAGCGATATCTTCAAGAAAACGATTTCCACGGAATTGTCCTTGATTTCAGTTAACTTACGATAAAGAACGGCAATTATCGAGTATACCTTCAATATATACTCATCCGTATTTTTTAAACACTTGTTATCTAAGGCTGTAGATTCGAACTAAAACTTTTATATACCCAATTCAAATCAGAACTACTAATAAGTACTAACTAGTTTTTTAAGACAACTTATGAAAATAAACTATTATAGCCAACTTGTTTCAATTTCAATCAACAGAAAACTGCCATTCATTCAGACTGTAAACCTGGTCATTCTGTATGTGATTTTAATGAAGAAAAAAAAGAAAGAAGACTTTCTATTGGATTTACAGATGCTTTACGCCAGTATTTATTAAATCAAAAAGGTAATTTGCTACAAATTCTCGAATATTTTGGTTAAAAATTCAACATTAATGTTTTTAATTTTTTTCTTAGATGGTATACATTTGTTTAAGTTAAGGGAAGTTATTATCATTGAGTGACTAACGTCATTTGGCAGATGAAAGAAAACCACAGAGTATTGTAATGTGTACAGAAGGTCAGTGGATGTTTTTGAATTTTGTTGTTTACATCATAAAGTGACTTTTGTTAGACGATCATTGAAAGTCAGGAAGCACTGGATAGCTGTTTTGTACTATCATGAGACCCCACAGCAATGTACATTTAATACCGGCTAGGTTTCAGTGATTGATTAACTAAAGTCAGCTTGTGATATAAACGATAATATTGGACTTTTATTTGATTCTGGTTTGGAACTCTTCAGGAATATATACACATGACCTAACAAAAGATTGAATTCATGACTATATGGGTTTCTAGAAGTACACAACAGCATGTAATCAATGTGTTGTAATACAATAGTCCATACCAATCAGCCACAATAGTTCATATTATTGTAGCTGAATCTTTATCTTTAACAGACAAATATTGTGTTGCTCAGTGTCCGATCCTGGTACAGGCTTCCTATGCGCTAGCCCAACTGATTACTTGAATGAAAAAAACTAAAAGAGAAAGAATGAATTGAACGAAGAAATTTCTTTTCCATTAGTTTTTCATCATGGCTCTACACTAACATATATATATATATATGGTTTACAATAATGATTTAATACTCACTGAGTGGATACGTTACGTAATAATTACATAATGACATTTAAATTAACATTGAGTAGTCTGGAAGAAAGATCATTATTAATATTCAAAGTAATTATTAAATCAAGAAGTTACTGTGTTGCATAATATATGAAAAGAGAAGGAACAAAATTTGTAATGGATGGTCAATAAAATAGTAGTTACGCAAGAATCAAGAGATGAATGTTGAGAAAAAAACAACAACGAAAACAGAATTAAAAATTAAAATTAAAAAAAAGAAATGTGAGAAGTATGGAAAATAGTTCTGTTGAAGGGAATGTTATACAGATGGCCAAGGCAGCGAAAGTGGTTGAATAAATTTCTTTTGAATGCAAAGGTCAGGTTTGTGAACATGGATTGCGATGGCTTCCGCAATGTGCAAAAGGCGCACTCGTAAACCATGTGGTAAATTTGATGGGATATGGTAGATAACCTTAAAAGCTTTATTCAATTCAACTTAGTGACCTGTGTCAACCAAATGAGCGAGAATAGAACTTTTAATCACTTTTACCTGTCCTTTATTTAGCCACGACGGATGATGTTTTGTAATACGGTGACGAACTTGCCGAATTGTACGCCCTATATAACTGGCTCTACAGGAGCAGTTGAACTGATAGATACACAGATTTGGTGAATTCAGGCAGTCTGTCTTTACTGGTCGTTCTTATTTTGGGGTAGTTATAGAAGATAGTGTTCAGTTTGGCTGCATTAAATGTTTTTTTGTACAGCTCTTGTTAGTTTCTGAGTCACGATCTCTTCAGTAGTATCATTTATGTATTTTAATTTTATGAATAGTACTTTCTTAGGGACCGTGAGTATCTTCACCTTTGGTTTCATCTCCATCATGTGTTTGTCAATTAATTTCAAAGAATACCCATTCGTACTAAGTATGTTCCGAATTTCAGCAAATTCTTCTTCAATGGTGTCTTCCGAGCAAATCCTTTTGGCACGATGGGTCAAGATCTTTATCAAGTTCCTTTTGTATCTGATTGGAACTGCACTGTAGAAATTGGTGTATTGTCCTGTTGCCGACTTTCTGTGTAATCCTCTTTTTAAAGTCCCATCTGCTCGTCTAGTTAGTTGGACATCTAAAAACGATATGCTATTGTTCTGTTCATCCTTTGATGTAAAATTAATAGATGGATGAACGTTATTAAATGTATTAAGTAAATTGTCTTTAACATGCTCTTTTTCTAACACTATGAAAGTATCGTCTATGTAGCGATAATAAGTTGGTAAATGGCTAATAGTGTTTTTAAGTGGTCCATTTTCCAGTTTTGCAAGGAAAATGTCCGCCAGTAGAGGGCCCAATGGTAACCCCATGGCAACTCCATCTAGTTGTCTATAACATTCGTTGTCGAATCTGAATTGTACATTCATTGTGCATTTAAGAATTAACTGTTTTAATGCGGATGTGTGGATTGCGGTTTCAATGTGCCTCACTGTTAGTTCTTTGCAAATAAAGTCTACCGTTCCAAGTAGTGGGATGTTAGTGAATAGGGATGATACATCAAGTGATATCATGAAATTATTCTTGACCGATAGATGTTTTATATTCTCCACAAATTCGAAAGAATCCTTGACACTATGCTTGACAATTTCTTTGTGTAACGGTTCGAGAATTTGCACCAACCATTTTGCTATAGTATGATACGCTGAGTTATTCATATCTAAAACTGGTCGAAGGGGTAAGCCACTTTTGTGTATTTTTGGCAGGCCATATAGCCTTGGTGTAATCGTTCCTGTAGGTTTCAACATTTCGAACTCTTTTTCTGAAATAAATCTTTGTCGTTTAATTTCTTTTAGTGAATCTGTTAGTTGTTTTTCAATCTTGTCTACTATGTCGTTTTTCACAACCAGTTTCTGAAATTTGTTTTTATCATTTAAAAGAGCTTTCATTTTGTTTATATAGTTATTTTTATCCATGAGTACTATCCCATGTCCTTTGTCCGGTTTCGTGATTAATAGGTTGTCATACTAGAATGAAAACATATTGTCTTTTGTTGTATTTTTCATACAATATTTAATTTCTCACTTTATAGTATGCTTCAAATAAATAAATTAGACTAGATGTAACACATGAATCTCATTTCAGAATAATTTAATGGCGAATCTATTTCAGTAGATAAACTAATAACCGTTGGAATACTAAACGTAAATTTTGTCCGTGAATAACGTATTTCAACTCAAAAATATGATTTGTTGTGTCCAAAAATTATACCATTCTGTATAGCGATGACATAAATTGTTAAATATTTTTTTGTAAACAAACTGATATTAAATACCATACAGAATAATGTTAAGTAAATCGGTGTCAGAAACTGTGCTTTCTGTGGTATTTGAAATTGTATCACCTAAATTCACACCATAGGAAGATATTATTTAGCCGTTTGAGCCGTAACTAACTTCTACAGAACAGAGAGATATACAGAGTAAAATTGATAACTTTGAGATATACTTCGTACTCTGCCATATATCTCATACGAAACATGGTATCCCATGCTATCGAGCCAAATAATCTAGAATAATTGAACATCGTGGTTAACGATGAGAACTTTAAAATGTAAATGGTTTAAACTCGATAACTATTTCAACTACTTGTGTATTTTTTTTTAGTTTTCTCACGAACGTGAAGTGATGGTGGTCATTTCTCTCAGGTAGTATTGGTTTTATACATTATAATTCAATTTACCCTCACCGCCGTTTGTTTTAAATGGGCATATTATTGTTAACCGTACTAATATTCAAAAAGGTAACAATGATCATTATTACCGATAAAAATCACTATCTATTTCAACTTGTCGCTAATGAAATATTCCAATCATAGTTTTGAAGCAGAAATATAAATCACTTTTCACCAAAATGGTTTAATGTCTACCGTGGTGCGTCAGACGATCTAACTTAGAGAATATTTTACTAAAAACTAAGTGTTTTTTGACTTTTTAAGACTTTTTTGGTGCTAAATGAATATGTTTTGTAATCGGTTTTACTATTTGATTTAAGTCTACGAGACCCGAACCCATCTATTCTTCATAAGAGTTCTTCTAAGATCCTTTCTTCCTTAACTGTCTCGTGTGCACATCTTTCTGATCCATGAGGACGGTAAAGGAATAAGATCCCTTATTTATGCCTAACGGAACTTGAAAATAATTGGGCTTTTGAGTTTCATATAGATATCCAGTAAATTAATTGCTAACCACTCAGTTCAAATCTGACTTAGAGGTAAACCAAATCGATAGGTAGCTATTATCAAAGGTGTGAAGCAATTTATCTTATTCATATTCTCACTGATAAACTTTCTGTAAATATCTGGTTTCACATGTTCGTCAACATAAGAGATTGACGGTCACCTTTAGAAACTTTTGCTTCACTTGATATTTCCATAAACTGCTCTGAATACATAGTAAATTACCCTGTAAGTTCTTTTCGGAGTTCACCGAAAATTTGATATAGTTAGTTTGGCACATTTGTGTAGCGTATCATGTATACAAGTCATTTAACATGGAAACAAACACTGCTAAAACTAAACTAAAACGTTTGAGTTTTATTGATCACTCACCATCGAGTGATTTTAGAATCCAAACATCAGAATTTAATTCTTGTCCGTCCTATCACGAATAATTACATCTGTCTATCCTTCATTATGAAAATTATATTTATTTCAAGTTTCTAAACGTCATATTTGAGATACCAATAACAAAAGTTCTACGTACAGATTTTTTTATCTGGAACGTTCACATATATAATTTAGTATCTACTGTTTACATGATGCAAGATTTCATCATTTTGTGGAATTGTCACTGCATACTAATAAATGTTCGTGTTTTTGACCTCAACTTAAATAAATAATCACTTTTCATTTCTGTTAGTGACTTTTATTTTTATATATGAAGTGTTGGATTACAACTGGGAATTAATGTAATGAATTTGACAGATAATTTGAATATTATATGATTAATTAGATACTCATTTTCATTTTATAATAAGTTGCCTCCAGATTTTAGATGGTTGTTTATTATCATAAAGCTGATATTAATTGAAAATAATCATTTAACATCTACCAGGATCAACAACTTTATTGGAAACTGACAACGATGCAGAAGATGCAGAGTCTATGGTTGGTTCAAGATTATGGAAATCAAGTCAAGGATTCAAGAGACAACAGTCATCATATATTAGTCATCAGAGTCAATCATGTCAACCTGCTCAGTCAAACCAACAACAGAAACAAAGTTGCAACAAATTCCCAAGACAAACAACACACAGAACAGTTACAGCTACAAACGATTATATCCATTCAAGTTATAATTTATCATCGACGAGAAAGTCTCGACGAAAGTTTGCCAGTCAAATATATACCTTTCTCGATAAACCAGATGCGTTTTATTCAGCGAGTTTAACAAATTTAAATCCTAAAATTACTCAACCTTTTAATGGACACAAAAAATCTACAGATTCTTCAATAAATGTAAAGGCATATTCAAAGTATCCAATAGCATCTAAATCGTCTTTAATCATTTCTTCTGAAACAGTGAATAAAAATCAAATTAATAATGAGTTAATTGATAGTAATATTTCTTCAATTCAATCATTTCCTATTACATCATTGAATCAACAACATCAAGAACAAAACCACGAAGAATTTCATTCTTTGGATAATTCGATACATAAATCATCTCATAATGATATATGTCCTAAATCCAGTATTATTGAAACAAGTATTCCGGAAGAAAACCCACTGACTACTAATAATACAGAAAACAGCATAGAACCCTACTCACCAACATCTAAAGTGAACACAATTAAACAAAATCTAGTATTATTTGGATATGGAATAATAAAATTATTTGATTTAAACTTATTCACAGAAATGTCATTTTTATATCTAGTAGGTATTGGTGTTACAAGTCAGTTGGCATATTTTATTCCGTTTGTCTATTTAATTGATTATACAGTTAGTTACGGGATGGAACAAGACAGTGCTGTTTTAATCGTTATGATATTAAGTAAGTATCCCTGTTTCATTTTATAAAATCATTTGAATTTTAAATAAATAATATATTTGTAATATCCCAATAAGTAGAAAAATTAGATTTTCTGACGTTTCGTGACTTAGTGTAAGTCACTTCAGAGAATAAATAACCAAATTAAAACTAATCCAAGTTTAAGTAGTACAACGGAACTATTTAAATTTGGATTAGTTTTAATTTGGTTATTTATTCTCTGAAGTGACTTACACTAAGTCACTAAACGTCAGAAAATCTAATTTTTCTACTCATTGGGATATTACAAATATATTATTTATTTATAACAATCTACCCAATGCTCAATTTATTCGAAATTATCAAATCAAATCTTGGTAATGATACCTACAAATTCATTTAAGTTTTATTCGCTTTTCTTAAAGTCTTAGAGAGAAAATCTATTTGAACTTGGGCAAAAACTCAATTGTTTAGAGCTAATGTAGAAATTAGTTTGTCCTACAGATATTCTACTGGTACTGTGAACGCGATACTGACGACCTGGAGTTTATGTGAAAGCTATAGTCAGAACATAGACAACTTGGCTTGAAGCGTTATCTATTTCTAAACGTTTAAATCAATTTGATTGGTCCAATAATTGTAGTCATTATGTCTAACGCATCAACATACCGACCAGTATTGGGTGTCTTATTGAAATGAATAAAAAAATATGAGTTGCAGTCACGCTAATATGATAGGATGATAATGTCCTTAAATTGACAGGTCACATGCAACAAGGATAGTTTACAGACACACCAGATCAGGTTGACGTAGTGGGAGTTTGAGCAGCGACCTGATTGGTTAGTTATGGACATGTTTGACAGTTATCATATTGTTTTCATGGGTCACACGGCTCGGTGACCTTAATTAAACAAACATTAGGAACCAGGATACATTGGATAACTGTTTCGTCCGATTGTGGGGTTCCTCGGCATTACACACCGGTGACTGTATCGGGGACCGAAACCAAAGCCCTCGGTCTCCTGGGCGAGCACTCAACATTTAAATTATTGGTGTCCATGTCTAACTTCAATCAATTCGCGATACTGTAAGCTCATCTTCCGTTACCTGCGATGGATGACTGCCTGATGCACCCAGGATTGCGTCTCAGAGAGAACTAATAACAAGTATGTATTTATGATTTTAAAGGATTTTTAAATTATTTATGGAGGCATATTAAATATATATCCTGATAGATAAATGTAAGGAAAATCTCAAACCCCATACGTTTCTTTTCGAGTTGTCACATTTTTTCAAGGGACTTGTAATAGAAATATACGCTGGCTTAACACCAGAAATTGTTCTTGTTTTTATAATTAATCACCCTTTTTTAATACTGTTGATAAGTATAGGGGGTTACTTACGCCTGTTACTCCTCGTGAAGGAGCATAGGCCTCTCACCAGCATTCTCCATCCAACCCTGTCCTGGTCAATCCTTTCCAGCTCTTTCTAGTTGTTATTCATCCTTTTCATATATAATTCTATTTCCCGACGTAATGTGTTCTTTGGCCTTCCTCTTTTCCTCTTCCCTTCAGGGTTCCAAGTTAGTGCTTGCTTCGTGATGCAGTTTGATGGTTCCCTCAATGTATGTCCTATCCATTTCCATCGTCTTTTACTAATTTCTTCTTCAGCTGGAAGTTGGTTTGTTCTCTCCCACAGAAGGCTGTTGCTGATGGTATCCGGCCAATGGATGTTGAGTATCTTACGTAGACAGCTATTTATAAATACTTGTACTTTCTTGATGGTGGCTGTTGTTGTTCTCCAAGTTTCAGCTCCGTACAGTAGAACTGTCCTGACGTTGTTATTGAAGATTCTGACTTTGATACTGGTTGAAAGTTGTTTTGAGTTCCATATGTTCTTCAGTTGAAGGAATGCCGCTCTAGCTTTGCCAATCCTCGCCTTTACGTCTGTATCTGAACCTCCTTGTTCATCGATGATGCTTCCCAGGTACGTGAAGGATTCCACACATTCTAGAGTTTCGCCACCAAGAGTGGTTGGACTGCTGTTCTCCGTGTTGTATTTGAGGACCTTAGTTTTCCCTTTGTGTATGTTGAGGCCTACTGATGCAGAGACTGCTGCAAAGCTCGTTGTCTTTATCTGCATTTGTTCGTGTGTATGGGATAGGAGGGCTAGGTCATCTGCGAAGTCCAAATCGTCTAATTGGTTCTGAGCTGTCGATTGTATTCCGTGTTTTCCCTCAGATGTCGAAGTCTTCATTTTCCAATCGACCACCAGAAGAAAGAGGAAGGGAGAGAGTAGACAGCCTGATTTTAATTTGGTCCTTACTTGTAATGCGTCTGTCAGCTGTCCTCCATGCACTACTCTGCACTGTAGTCCGTCATATGAGTTCCGGATAACGTTGACAATCTTCTCAGAAACTCGTAGTGTCGAAGAAGTTTCCATAAAGTTTTCCTATCTACACTGTCAAATGCCTTCTCATAATCAATGAAGTTGATGTACAGTGACGTGTTCCACTCAATTGATTGTTCGACGATGATCCGTAGTGTCGCAATTCGGTCTGTGCACGACCGGTCCTTACGGAATCCAGCTTGTTGATCTCTCAGTTGAGTGTCTACTGTGTCTTTCATGTGGTTCAGTAACACTGTTAAAGACTTTCCCTGGTATTGACAGTAGTGTAATGCCTCTGTAGTTTTCACAAATGCTCAGATCTCCTTTCTCTGGAATCTTGAATAGGTGTCCTTCTTTCCAGTCCATCGGCACTTGTTCCTCCTCCCAAATCTTCTTGAGTAGAAGATGAAGCATGCTTGTAGTTACTTTGATGTCTGACTTCAGTGCTTCAGCTGGTATATTGTCGAGTCCTGCTGCTTTCCCGCTCTTGATTTGTCTAATGGCCATTCTGATTTCTTCCGTCGTTGGTGGATGGACATCTATAGGAAGATCTGTGTGTGCTGCTTCGATGTCCGGTGGATTCATTGATGCCGGCCTATTCAGGAATTCCTCGAAGTACTCTGCCCATCTGTTCCGCTGTTGTTGAATTTCAGTGTTTGGCCTGCCTTCTTTGTCTTTGACCGGTCTCTATGGTTTACAATATTTCTCTTCTAGTTTCTTCGTCTTATCATATAGTTGTTTCATATCTCCTTCCCTTGAAGCTGTTTTCACTGTCGTTGCTAGTTCTTCCACGTATTTCTGCTTGTCAGCTCTAATACTCTTCTTCACTTGCTTGTTTGCTTCATTGTATTCAGCTTGTGCCTTGACTTTCTCTGCTCGTGTTCGGCTGTTGTTAATTGCTGTCTCCTTGTTCTTCCTTTCTTTGATCCGGTCCAGTGTTTTTATAGAGACCCATTCCTTATGATGATGCTTCTTGATGAAGCCCAGAAACTCTTGACACGTTGACGTTAATGCTTCTTTCATACCTTTCCAGTTATCCTCCATAGTAGTTTCTTCTTCCTTCAGTAGATCCTGTAAGGCATGGAACCTGTTGTTGAGGGCTATCTTGAATTCATTGAGTTTGTCAGTATCTCGAAGGAAGGCTGTATTGAACCTTTGTAGTGCTGTTTGTCCAGTTGTCCAGTTCTTCTTTAGCTTCAGTTTTAAATTGGCCACAACCAGGTGGTGATCTGAAGCTATGTCCGCTTCTCTACTGGTTCTCACATCTTCCATTGTCCTTCGGAACTTTTTATTGATGCAAATATGATCTGGTTCTCTGTGGTGTGGTCCGGTGAGATCCATGTAGCTTTGTGCATACGTTTGTGTGGAAATATTGTGCCGCCTATGACCAATTTGTTGAATGCACACAGATTTGCCAATCTTATCCCATTTTCGTTTCTTTCTCCCAGTCCATGTCGTTCTAGCTCAGTCGGTAAATATATATTGAACTGTCTAAACCATGTTACATATTCTTTTTTTGAGCAACTAGTTTTTCAACGTGTTCGTGTCTATCTTTCTTCATTGGTTGAATAGGGTCGAAGCCAAATTCTGATTACTTTTATCAATTAGGTAGATAATGATCATGTGGTAAACAAAACAAAATTATATGCAGTTATTTATCGTACCACCTTTCTACTGTCTTTATCGTTTAATTTTCAATTTTTTTCATAACATAATGAAAATCGTTTTACATAGTGTTTTGTTATTCAAATATAAATTAAATGATCAATAGGTAATTTCTTCAGATGAAAATTTGCTTAGCCTTAATCATTGATGCTTTGTTAATGTTTTGTGTACATATATACAGGTATATTCCACACACTTGGTCGAGCAACATCTGGTATTATGTCAAATGTTTTCCATTTAGATTCGGTATATTTAAGTGGACTAGCAACTTTTGGTGGTGGGCTAGCACATGTATTTCTCGTTTTTATAATTCCACATACATTTGTGTGGTATTCTATATATGCCAGCATTTATGGCCTATGTAGTGGTAAGTGTATATTGAGGTATTGTACATTAAAAAATAGACGATAGATCCTATAGTGGTTAACTTTTTCCTAGTTCAATTTGCAGTTTATTTATTTAAACTGAATCAAAATATAGATGGTTATTAGATTGTTTTTTAGAATAGATGGATTATTACTAGTGTTGCAATCCAAGGCCATCATTTTGTCCTGTTTATTACTCGTCAACTAGATATGCCTTAATCTTAGTATTTATATACAAATTTGGAATAGAACTCACCCTTAGAAGTGAATTCATATCCGTTAAACAAGTTAGTGACTGTATGAAGTTGGCAGCTCAGTTGATAACGTGTTGACGTTTGAAGTAATAAGTGATATGTTTAAGTCCTAGTGTAAACATCAACACTGGGACACAGGTATATCAAGCTAACAAGCCTTAAACAAAACAAAATCAACATTCTGGATTCTGCCGATAACCAAAATCCCTTTACTCTAAGAAGCTTGTAACCATATTGAGGCAATCCACGAAAGATGCATATATGTTAACAAAGAGTAATCAAAATTCTGTTCCTAATATAAGCAACTAAATAATTTAAATCTTCGCAAGTAATAATATAGGTTCATTACAGAAATCAGTTGTTCACCAAATTATTTTACGCTTCATCACAAAAGTCACTAAGCATGAAAATAATCTATTTAATTAATTTATCAACGTTTCTTAGATATGCTGGCAGCAAATGAAAATAAATGAGTAATATTCAAAAACTGTTATCCTTATTACTGTACTACACTATATGATATATCTTAGTTTAGCGTGACCTAACGATATATGAACGACATCATTTTAAATTATCTTAATACACACACGTAGATAAAATAAAAGGATTTTTTCTGCGGAAGAGGACTATCATCATCTAAAAAACAGTTGTATCATATTGTTATTTGAATATATATATATTCCTTATGTAATGTTCTTTAGCATGTAACAAAATGAAAAATATTCACTCATATGTATCTATACTTCGAAATGTGTTACACAATCAGACTTACCGTAGTTCCTCCTTGGTAAAACATTGGCAGTTTATGTTGATCATCTACACCCACATTCAGGTCTGTTAGATACCTGTAATTCAAGTAGTTTGATTGTAGTGTTTAGTACAATGTCAGGCTCACATGGTTTATTCCAGCTTTCGGACAAGGCAATTTATTCATTTTTGAGTCACATTTCGACCTTGTCAATTACTCTCTTTTTAGCCTTAACTGTTTTTATATGAGTGTCCACATATTGCTTACCCTACTCATAACATGTCTATAACTTATTTTTGTCGAATTGGCTTACTCCCTTCTCTTCGCTTCCTTGCTTTTCATTCTGTCTGTCTGGATCAACGAGTGTACGAGATATACGTATCCAATATTCATTCCCGTATTTGACTTGTTTTATTCCGTTATTCACTAACGCGAATCAAGTCGATAATTATGTGATGAGGTAGTCGTGATGTATATTACGATAACGTCATCATGTGGTCTAAGTGGAGTCCGATTAAAGGGATACCAAATAGCATTAACATATGGAAACTGTACTTAACAAGACATTTGAAAAATTTACTAGTTATAGTACTTACAAGCTTAAACGTGAATTTAGATTCGGTTACTTCTCACTTTTAGTCACTCTAATCATAATGAAATCACGATGATCAATCATTGTAGTTATCTCAGTTGTACAGAAGGCTAGTAGAAGTCTAAGTGCCTCGTTAATAATGTCTCAGACTGTGATAATGGATGATGCAGGTCCTAATTCCATAAGGAACATTAATCTGCTTAAGATTAAAAATGCGCATTACTGGTGAGTATTAACTAGTGCGAGACTTAGGCTCAGGTTTTCATATTTATCTTCAACTACCAAACACTAAATAGTAATAAATAAATGTTAACAATCTTTTTCAAGAGAACAATCAGTTGTTTTGTTTACTACTTTTAGTATCCTTAATTTATGCTGAACCATTTTTAATATGTTTGAGCTGAATCAAAGAGGACATATCTTTTAGATTAGAAAAAGGACAAACGGATTTTTACGAATATACATTTTAATCTTTTTACTTAGGAATACCCATCCCACTTATTCCAATACTTCTAGTACGTTTCAGTGGACTTGAGCATCTGACAGCGAGTTTTAGTAACTTGAATTTACTCAAAGGTATTTTTTCAATGATTGGACCTACTGTGGCAAGTAAGTACACTGTATTTCAATCCAGTAACTCTCCTGTTTTATTCCTATTTTTAATTTACAACTAAAAGGGTTATCCCGATCTATTCTCTCAAAGTTTTCAGCAGTGGAAAGAGATTCTAATATGTATCTCTGATGAATTTAAATAAAGTTGGAACTCCAACCTTATTTATCACTTAGTATGTACTCCACAAATCATATTCTTTAAAAATTCACAACGTTAGACCTTCATTTGGTTTCAATGGATTTTCTAAATGTATTGGATTTCAATTGTACTATATTTTGGAGAACAAATTGTAGGAAGAGATTATTTTTAACTGCTAGATTGAAACCTAATGGTTCACATTCTCTGCCTGATGTTACTTCTCAGTTCTTTTGGTCATAATTAAATGTAACTGGTAGATATTCATTTTCACACTTAAGTGTGTGATTCTGCTTTCTATCACTTAACAGCCAAATTTAGAAAGTAATCGGTGTTGGAAATTCCGACACTAGTTCGAAAAACCTATCCACTACTTTCATCTTTCAAACGATTCCTCATATTACCTCAGCCCATAGTTTAAGTCGATTTCATATAGCTGATCCTTCACAAATGACCGTTTTTAACCCAGCAATAATAAAAAATTTACGAGTAACATTTTCCTTATAATCTTCACCTTGATTTCTTAAATATCCTTTTCATTATTGCATTTTACTACACATACTTTCCCTCTCAAATTAACATGAACTAGCTGCTCAATGATTATTCTCATTTTATGTGAGTTTCCCATGTATATCCTCACCAATCGGTCATTTAGTATTGACAGTCTGTAACGCGATATGATGTTGGTTGAGTTGTATCGATCAAATTTCAATTCGAACAGTAGTTTGGGTGATTCTATATTACAATGCGCTTTTTTAGATGTTAGTTGTTTGGGAGAGATCGGTAGGAATATCTTAAAAAATAAATCTTCAAAGCTGCTATCCATTAACAAGGTGAATTTGCTTCAGCATGACAAGAACCAACATTTAAGGACCACCCAAACTGTAAATACTTACATATATGTAGTGATTTATACTTTGCTCATAAGTTCATCAGATCAGCTGTTGTTTCCGATCAAATTCCTCATCTTGTGCTAGCCTTTTTCCAAAAAATACATTAGTTGTCCAACGTAAACCAATTAGGTCAAAAAGCATATATATAACGTAGCCAATCACAGCCATTGGAAAATAGTACTTATTATTTCACCCACATATTTTATAAACATTATTGATTCACTCACATAACTCTTTTTTTTTTCTTGTTTATCTTTTTTTCCAAAGTTACCATAGTTGAGTACACTAGTCAAAAAGACCATTTATTTCTTGTAGCGGGAGTATGTTACATTATTTCTGCTCTATTACATTTGGGATTATGTCAATATTCATGTTTTCCAAAATATTCTAAATGTAATACAAACAAATAAAGAATTAATGATTATGATGATGCTAGTCATTTTGAAGATTCGTATGCTAAATGTTTTCCGTTTTCTTTCTAATAAAGTGAAATTAACAAAAATAACTTACCAGTCGCTTTTTAATATTTTATACAGACTTTTGTGATGATTGAAAAAAAAACTTACACTATTTTATACTAAACATTATTTCCTGTTAATCATTTTATTACATTTTTATAATTAATCTTTTTAATTCATTGATTAGTTTATTTTGTAATCATATATTGATCTCCTCACACCGAATATTTCCGCAAAACTGTTTACAGTAATAATATGTATATTGAATAAACGATTTTTTTTTAAAATACTCCTTTTAAATTCAACTATAATGATGATAATTGTCATTAGGATATGAAGAATGTGGGCTAATTATAATAAATCTAGTGTTTTCATTCTTAAGTCGAATTTCATAACAATTTGCTAAAACTTTGTTCAAAATTTCGCATGGTTATGTAGTATGGCTCTGAAATGTCTTCTTTAAAGATGAAAATGAGCAGATTACAAATATTCAGTTACAGTTGTCATCGAATATTTGCTTGATTATGTTGGAACCATCGAGTGAGAAATGCTGAGGTTAATCGTAGGCTAATAAATGAAGACTAGATTGATTGATAAGGTAGTTAATCTTTATTGAATCAGGTGTTTAGGATGTGTTTTATGTATCCCTAACTACTGTTTACCTTGACGAACTGTATCTGCTGGTTGGAAGAAAGTGACCAAACCTGGACGTGGCACGAGTCAATGGGGTTATTGATGGCTTAAATGATTTGGATTAGTTAGTGCGAACTACGTAGTGGAGGTGCGTACGAATACTGTGATCAATGATTAAAGATGTTAGATGAGATGGTTCAAAATCTTCCGTAATAGTGCAGATGGGTTCATTCTCTTTCTTCCTTCAAATGATAAGATTTATAAATTCGTATTTCCTCTTCAAATCACATTGTCTATGCCTAATCTTTTATGGTGTTTAGTGCAAACATGTTGGATACAAAATTGAGTACCTATTTTATAGTACAGGATCTGATAGGGCATGTGACTATCATATGAATTACTTCATTTTGGCTGGTTAACTCGTATTGAATCATATGATTAATTCAAATCCCTTATTAGTGAATACTTATAATTTGCTCCTCTTTATTTAAATGTCTACTGACATATTATATTGATTAGTAGACACTGGTCAGTTTGCACTCATTTCAATACAATGCATACTAGAATGATCTGATCCAATTCTGAATTTACTTCATTTTAATACAATCGCTCATCATTCTGGAGCTAGCGATGACACAATTCCGATATTGATCTAATACAGCCATTGTTTCACCCCAGCTATGTCCATTCAATTTTGTTGCACCTTGATGTGTATATGCAAGTTGAGGGATTGAAAACAGATCCTCAACAGGTAAGAAATCCGTTTCTCTAATGATGTTCAAGTCCAGGCTTCCTCATGACGTCATTCCAAATTATTAACGTGTATTGTCACGTACTCCCGATATGACTTATGTCCCCTTGTTATAAATTTTGTACGTAAACCCAAGATATTGGTTGAGGCCATAATATTTTGAGTTGCGTGGCTGTTTAAACATCAGCTTTTTTTGGCTGTTTGAATTCTTTACACACAATACCGTTCATTATTTAGTAGGAACACCGTTTCTCATGGACAGGTTGTTAGTATCTTATTTTAGCTATCTGTTCGCCATATGATAGATTTGGTTACACAAACTCTTCTGAACATTCGGTTGCCTGTTAATTACATATACGATATTTTTGAAGCAATGTTCATTTCATACTTACATTAGAATTTATGTGGTACGGTAAGTGCCACCAAACAATTACTTTTTGATAACTTCGTAGTGACCTACTTTTGTCAACAGAACGCGATTGGTTCAGTGAAAACAATTATTATTATAACCAATTGTACCAGTGATTGTTTTACTGTGCTCGTTGGTTTAATGTACTAGTGACAGCCATTACACTCACTCTCCCGTTGACTTTGAACTTGTACGAATTCGGTTACGCTTAGTAACCACGCTTGTACTCCTTTGGCACGATCTCGGTATTCTTTCGATACCACGAGATCGCCAGCAAATATATCTCGACTAGAGTCATCATCTGTCTTCTGATATTGGCCTACGGGAATCTTATTGGTTAATTGGCACGTAGTTTTCTTGTAGCGGTGTTCATAATCAAGCGCAATTCGACACCACGCTACAAAATCATGATTCTTCTGTACTAAATGTTTTAAATGTGGCAATATAGGATACATTTACTCAGTATGCAAAACTACTGTTCATTTTGGTTCACGTAGTACTAAACCTTGTCATATAGATCCCATTTATTCGTCTGTTTCTGATGACCATTTATCTTCATCTATATTCAAAAGCTATTATATACATCCCTTGGTTCAATTCATGACTTTATTGTGGACACAGGCAGTATAGAGTCCATTATTTCATTCAATAATTTGAAATCTTTAGGTCTTAACGTTGTGGTAAGACCCACTGAAGTATTAATATTGAGGATTACTTGACACAGACTGCCCATACGAAGATGTTGTGAATCGCTAATAAGAGATGATAACTCTTCATACATACCTAGTGAATTTTTAGTTAACGACACAGGGCTGTCAATACTGTGTCTAAAAGATTTGAAAAGGCTTAAAGTGGAGTCGTCTTTTCTAGTTTCTAAAGAAAATTCTGATGCTTTATTTAAAGATTTAATAGCTACGTGTGCTAAGTGCAGTGGAAGTATGAAAATTCAGCCTACAAAACTTCAAGTACAGTATGATCCAGTCTTTCTTAGAAGACTAATGATGCTTCATGGCCTTCGAGAAGCAGTACATAAAACATTAAACGATCTGTGTGTGATAGGTATAATTGGACCGATTCACTATCAGCATGGGGTACTCCTATTGTTACGCCACTGAAATCGGACGGCAAGACCCCTAGAATATGTGGTGACTATAGATTAACACTGAACTCCTGTTTGTTGAAACGAACGTGCACGACGATAGAGGCTGAAGATATTCTAAATCGACCCCATGGATCTAAAGTGTCTTCAAAGGTTGACGTAAAAGATGTTTATCTTCAAATCCCTTTGAATCAATCTTCATCTTTTTTACGACAATTAACACTTCTTTTGGTCTGTTCAAATACAACTATCTTCCTTTTTTTCTAAGTTGTTCTCCGGTCATATTTCAGGAAGCTATGAATAAGGTGGTTAGTGATCTTGAAGGTGTTGAGGTTTATCAAGATGATCTCATTGTTCGTGGTTCTGATAAGATAGTTCATGACCAGAGGTTTATTGCTTTATTGCGTTGTTTAATTGAGAAGAATATTACAGTGAATCCAAATAAGTGTTCGTTTTCTGTATCTAGTTTCGAATGTCTTGGTTACCTAGTTGATGGTAATAGTTTTAGACCAGATTTTAGTTCAGAATAAATTATTTTTATTATTATGTGAAACGAATATCTCCACTGACAAATACACCTCTCCAAAAAATCTTACAGAACTACGTTCACTAGTGGGTGCACTTCAATATTATTCTCGTTTTATTCACTATTTTTCTTGTCGTGAAAATTGTTTATTTATTATTTTGGCATCCAATTCATTCAAATGAGGTGAGGAACAAGAGTCATGCTTACGAAGTCTACTAAAGTTTCTTCAAAGTGATGCTGTTCTTCGAACTTACTCCCCTAGTGTACAGTCTGTGTTTATCACTGATGCATCACCTGTGGGTATTGGCACAGTTTTGGAGGAGGAAGGTACACCAGTTATCTGTGTTTCATTCAAACTTACTGTTACTGAACAAGGTTATTCACAAACTCGGCGGGAAACATTAGCTGTGCTTTGGACTGTTTAAAGACTTCAGAAAGAAATTCACTATTGTTACTGATCATGAAGCTTTAAAGTTCATATATCATCCTCGAAAATACTTATCACGTTCCTCAGTTGCTATGGTTCAACGATGAAGTATTGCTTTGAGTGCCTATGACTGTGCGGTTCGCACAGTAGTATCAAACAAATTCAGCACGTTGACTACATTTATCGACAATCATTGCAGGATAGACCTTTTAATACTTCAGACTGCTTCTTAGTATAACCGTTACCGGTGAGACGTTCAGATCACATTAGAGAAACTCGCAGATACTTTGGATGTATACTGAGTCCTATCCGAAAAGGTTGGAATACTGATGTGAAACGTAGATTTTCCGTCTGTTTTCAAAGTGGGATGAGCTTTCCACTACCCCTGACGGTATTTTGTATTTAAATAATCGTGTTGTTATTCTTCCTTCATTTTGCAAATCTGTCCTTGAAGACCTTCATAGTGGACATTTAGGTGTTGAGAAAATGAAGTTCTTGGCGAGGCTCACATGTTGGAGGCGAGAGATAAATGCAGATATATGTCGTACGTCAAACAATTGTGGAAAACGTCACAGAATGAAAAGTCATACTTCGAAGTGAACTACATGTCCAGTATTGTCTGAGGCCTGGCAGAAAATTCATTCTGACTAATGTGGTCGATTTCTTGACAAATACTATGAACTTATAGCCATTGATTATTTTCCAAAGTGACCTGAATTTTTTTCACAACTTCACCAAATTCTCACTTCAAGATTCAAGCATTAAGAAAGGTGTTTAGTCGATAAGGGATTTCCATAGTGTTAGTGGCTGTTAATGGCTCTTATTTTGCCACTCCAACGTTGAATAAGCTGGAGAGGGAGGTGGATATATTTCTACACCAAAACTATCAAATGGAAAAATTCTTCTTTCCAATATGATATGTTTGGAGTCTGACTAAGATACATATTATTGTGGAAATGATCTTCTAACAGCCATGAAGATTGTGATGAAGAATGTCGGGAAATATATGGTGCAAAATCTAGATATCAGTGACTAAAGTCTACGCAACCGACATGTTGATCAAATACAATCCCAGGAACTAAGTGAATCTATTCTAATTTCCATTATTAATTTTACTACTAATAAGTACATTCTACATAATACAGAGACTTTATCAAATACACCGTCGGACAAACATAGGACGAACTCGAGGAGATGTACAATGGACTACAGAAAATCGGGCTTTAATTTAAGCTGTGGCGGATGTGATGTTTGTATGAACTATTGACTCCTTTGTACCTGATGACTGCTTGATTTCGAATTCCACAAACATTACGTTCGTTCGTGCACATATAGTTCTTGGGTAAATTGCGTTATTTCTGGGATTACTAGCTTGTCTTATAACTCAA